CAATACCTTAAACAAGAGCAGAAACATATACACAATATGTTGTAACAAAAATAACCTTAAATACTTAACATACAAACATCCTTTAAACAAGAGCAGAAACACATACAATATGTTGTAACAAAATAACCTTAAATATTATCAACATATGAAAATCCTTTAAAGAGTAGAAATGATATGCTATAACAAAAATTACCTTAAATTTGTATCAATATACAAAAGTCCTTTAAACAAGAGGAAAAACATATACAGTGTAACAAATTTCAGCAGTGTAACAAAATTGACTGAGTTTATACTCATATACCAAAATCCATGCCAATGTAAAATATGAGATAGTTATTTTATCCTATATTTCTACAGTAGCCTAAATATAACAAACATCCATGACCCACAAAATAACCAAAACCACCTACAGCCATCTTTCTCTGGGGAATGTGGATGTTGTGTTCTCTAGACTGCTTCCTGTGGAATGTGGGCAAAGTATTTTTTGGATCCCCCAAAGAAAATATGAGATAATGGCCAAGTTGGAAAGACCAGTTATAACCTTTATTGATAGCTATCATCTGTCAAGTTTCAAGAGCTCTCCCCCAATCAAACCAGATCCATATCAACCTGCAATGAATCCACAGCTTCTTGTTTAAAAACTTCAAAATCAACACAATAACATACAGGATCCAGACTCCCCATGTTTCCCATCTTTACATGACTTTTTTCATTTACACTACTTGTACTGTCTCTTTAAAGACTTTACTTTTTTATTATTTTTAATCTATTTCTTCCTATGACTGCCTATACCCATTTTCTTTAGCCTAAGCACATTGTCAAACACACTGGAACCAGTTTAGAAGTTTTGTTTTCCCCCCGCCCTAATCTGGACCTCTTTTGCTGTTTATCTTTAGCTATTTTTGACTGCACACACCAACTTTAGATTGCTAAGCTATACCTAGATCCTCTGCGTGCTCTAGCAACTGGCTCTGCCCACTATCAGTTCAGGTCATGAGAGACAAGCCCAAAGCTTGTCTGAGGTTCCTAAGAACTTCTTTAAACCTTGCTAGCTATGGAAGCCAGAACTTGAATTGTCACAAGCCTTTTTTTAAAAAAAAAACTTGTTTCTAGTTTAGTGCTGCTAGCTGAACATTAGCACCTCTTAAAGTTTTTTCTTTTTCAGCTTCCACAGGCTCTAGATATATTTTTGAGCCCCACAATGGAATGCAAAAATTACTGTGTGATGTTTTACTCTTAGCTTTTTGAGGGCCCCTCCACTCAACTCCCAAATAAATCATACAAAGAGGCTTACTTCTTAATTATGAATGCCCAGCCATACCTTGGCTTGTTTCTAGCCAGCTTGTCTTAAATTATCCCCAACTACCTTTTGCCTCTGGCCTTTTATCTCTATTTCTATATCCTTTCTTTACTTCTTTCTGTGGCTTGCTGTGTAGCTGGGTGGCTGGCCTGATGTTTTCCTCCCCTTGTTCTTTCCCTCATTCTCTCACCTCCCACATTTCTCCTTTTATTGATACTCTATCTGCTAGCCCTTCCCCACCCCTCCTCCTGCCTCACTATTGGCCATTCAGTTCTTTATTAGGACCATCAGGTGTTTGAAACACAGTAACATAGCTTCAAAGTTAAACAAATGTAGTGTAAACAAAAGTCACACACGTGAAAATATTCCCCAACTGCAACAACTTAAAGTTTGCAATAATAAAAGCATACAACAGAAAACTTATGGCAGATCACTTCATAAACATATAAATCCCTGACCCATATTTTCAAAATGTGTCGATAAAACCGGACTCTCTGAATATGGCGGACAATGAGGGCTGCTGAGAAGCCAAGGACAATGCCACTGGGTTTTGATCCTACTTCATGTTCTGGCTTTGTGGGAGCCTAGCCAGTTTGGATGTCCACCTTCCTAGACCAAGATGGAGCGGGGAGGACTTTGGACTTTCCACAGGGCAGGGAACCCTGACTGCCCCTCAGACTGGAGAGGGAGGGGGAGAGGAGTGGGGGGGAGGGGAGAGGAGAGGGAGGAGGGGGGAAAAGGGAGACGGGGAGGGAAATGGGAGGCGGGGAGGAGGCGGAAATCTTTTTTTTTCAATAAAAAAATTATATTTAAAAAAAATACATTCTAAAAACACTCTTTAGAAGCTTAGTGAAACATGAATTGACTTGCTGTATTAGTTTAGAAGTGTTGGGACACTCAAAACATCAGAGAATGGTTACTTTATGCTACATGAACCAGTGTTCCATCATTTGACTTGTTTCAGGGTCTTCCTTGGGCCATCCACACTGGACTACAACTATGTGACTGAGTCCGGCCTATAAGCCACTGATTCTTTTCCAAGCACTTGACTGCTGAAATTGCAGGTGTATACAACCTTGCTTAGTTGTCATCCAATTTCCTTTATTGAAGGTTTCAGATGCCACTGTAGTTTTACCAAGAGCGAGCAAGAACAAAAACTCTTAACAAGAGACTAGCAAGAACTTAATAATTTTTTGTTTTCGGGTTTTATTTTTTAATTTATTTATTAATTAAAAATTTCCACCTCCTCCCATTTTCCTCCCCCTCCCCTCCCCTTACTCCCCCTCCCTTTCCAGTCCAAAAGCAGTCAGGGTTCCCTGCCCTGTGGGAAGTCCAAGGTCCTCCCCCCTCCATCCAGGTCTAGGAAGGTGAGCATCCAAACAGACTAGGTTCCCACAAAGCCCGTCCATGCAGTAGAATCAAAACCCAGTGCCATTATCATTGGCTTTTCAGTCAGCCCTCATTGTCAGCCACATTCAGAGTCCGGTCCATTCACAGGCTCGTTGAGTCCCAGTCCAGCGTTTTACGTCAATAAAGTCTTTTATTCCCTAGCCAGCAGACTACACAGGAAACTTGCCCAAATCATATAGCCATATTTATTTGCTTTGTATGCACAAAAAACATGTACTGAAGTCAACAAACTTCAATTAGCAAGGACAATAAACAGCTAAAGAGGCCAAAAAAGGAAAACTGGTAAACGTAGGGACTTCACCAGAACTATGTAAGGTGGATTAGGTCTTTGTTCTCATTTTGGCAGGTGTTGGGGTCCATGTGTTGGGCTCTTAGGTCAAATTGGTGGCTTGATGTCTCCAACATGGCATCAGTTGTGCTAATTAATGTTTGGGTGCCTGCTATATATTAAATATCTGAAAATACAAAAGTGAGATAAATTTCTCACCCAATCACACAAGGATGCAAGGACCAGTCTGAACCAGGCAAGTGTTTCTAAAATACAATTCCACAGAAAAGGATACCAGCATAGATAGTAGGCAAAAAGGGGGCTGGTGTAATGATTTGGCATGAGATAGTAGTTCTTAAAATCCTAATTGCAAGAAATACTGGCCCATTTTCCCAAAGACTGCTACTCCAGAATGGCAAGCTTTGCATTCTTCTAGCATAATCCTCTTCCCTCATTCCCCATCCTATTGGTTAAGAAAATAAAGCTTTATCTAATGAATATCTTGGGGCTTGAGATTAACCCCTTTTCTGATTGGAGGCTTGGACTCAATTGGCCTGCAATTTGCCAACTTTCAGAGTTCCAAAGACAAGCAGGTGCAAGTTGCCAGCAAGGAGAGAAGAGCCTAATGTCTCCTGCTTATCTGTGACTCTATAATGAGCTCTAAGCACACCCCATAATGAAAATTGGCCATAATGATTTATTTCTTGCAGACCCTAAACCAAAAATCCCAACTAGTACTGTGTCCATTATGAAGTAGAACTCTAATATACTGATTCATTCGGAACTCATTAGTTCAATCATCCTGAGAATAGCAGACTGAAGGCTAGGTATCTTTCTTTGTAATGGATTCCATTCTAGCACAGTTTAAGCACCTCATGCCTTAATGCCCCCAATATTTTGCTGTTCTGTTTGGTTTCGCTTGGGTCTGGTACATAGCTCAAGAGTGAAAGCTACAATTTACCTTTAAAACAAGGTGTTATTTAGAGTCAAGGCATGGACTCAGTGAATAAAAGCACTTGTTGCCAAATTTGATTCCATGAGAAAAAATCTCTAGAACTCACAGATTAGAAAAAAGAACAGACTCCCACAAGTTATCCTCTAACCTACACATGTGTATAGATAACACTCACCCAACACACATGCACACACACACACACCACTTAAAGAAAACTTAAAAATTAAAAGATACTATTTATAAACACATTTTGTAGTAATCAAAGAATATTTTTGTTGCCATGTGTCTGGTAAACAAGTACTTGGAACAAATTAAGCTCCAAAGGGCTGGTCAATAGGAAACTTGTTTGGATACACAAAAGGGCAGGATTAAAAGAGATGATGGAGTTAGTATGTCTCATAGACAGCCACAGACAAGCATGCTTTGAGAGAGTGCATACCTGGAAGCACAAAATGCCAAGACATAACAAATGCTGACTTACAGAAAAAACAAGAAACCAAAGTTTCTTAAGGAGGCTAACAGAAATATGCTAACTCATATTCATGCTCTAGTATGTCTATCATCCCTTTCTTAGACCATATGCTTAAAATCTGTTTTAAATATCTTTAATAAACCTTGACTGTGCCTTAAAAATATTAGTAGTGTTGAGGAAGAAAAGATAGCTAAAAGAATGTATGTGCTGCGAAAGCAAAAAGCAGACTATTGTGGGTGAGAATGTATAAGGGGCCAGGGAGACAGGAGAGGACCGCAGAGAAGATGGGAATAGGAGGTCCAACAAAAACAAATTATGTTTTTAAATGCCATAAGGAAACCTAATACTTTCTTGGCTAACTAAATAATTTCAATTGGAAAAATAACCTGAATAGAACATTATCAGCAGAAAAGAAAGATATGCTAGTATTTACTGCTATGGGGCTGAAATTAAATAATATTTTAAGTGGTCTTACAACTATTCCTTACCAATTCAAGCTATAAATTCATTCTTTGTAACCACAATGTCTGCAGAAACATGTTGAAACAATCAAACATCTGGTATCCTCTTTGTTGCAAAAAGAAAACTCCACTCATTTTGGCAATTTTAAATGCTAGCTTTTATTTACCGCAAATTGTGCAAAGGACACTATAATACTGTGCAGTAGGACAGTTATATAAATCCAGTATTAAAGAATACCATATGTGGCAAATGTAAAGCAGAACACCATGTGCTTTCAAAACTTATTAATATCAGACTACAATTCAGTTCTGACAATTCTTAAAGAAATCTCATTTAATTCAAACAAATGCTTAGGAGCATAGGTTCTTGTTTTTTTCCTGTTTCTTAAATTTCTCGAAAAGTAGAAATTATTATCAATTTCAAATAGGTGATTAAGATGCACCATATCTTAAGAAAACAAGTTGTATGTTTTCTTTCTTTTAGCAATTGGCACCATCAGTTAATACAATGTTCACAAGCTGGCTAACAGAAAACTGCCTACAATGAAATTGCTCATTATAGGCACTAGAAGTACATTCATTTCAATTTTCTTATTCATAACAAATTGATATTCCCTTGTTTTAAAGAAATATTTTACTTCAAAAGTAAAATAATTTTAAAGAGATACAATACTCAACGTTTTTACCACCTACACCACTTAAGAACTAATAAGACATTTATCAACCATAAAAGTAAAAATGGCAAAGATTATTTTATATTGCCAAATTTTAATTCTGAGGTGTATAATGAGGTGTGTTAGGTAGAAGCATATAGTTAACTGGTCCAGAATTTATAGCACCATGCATTTGGGCAGAACCACCATATGCTGGACCAACTGGATGCCACATGGCAACACTGGGATAATCTGATGCCACAGGAATGCAAGGATCAAAACCTGGCAAAGCTGACCCATAGGGATCTGCCATTACTGGATAATAGACTGCTCCATGAGGGACAGGTACGGCATCAGCAACGGGAAAAGTATCTGAAATGAAAAAGGTATATATATTACACACACATACTCTATCGTAAAAACTCACTAAATATAAATGAACACTCATACAAGAAAAATTAAATATATTATTAATTATAAGAAAGAACACAAGACCTGTCAGCAAGGCTGCTCAACTGGCAGAAATGCTTGCTGAGAAGTCTGACGGTCTAGTGAGCAACATGGGAGAAAGCTGACTGACTCCTTTCTTGGGCTGTCCCCTGAGCGCTGCATGTGAATCATGGCAAGCACACATACACAAAGGCAGACATACATTCATACTCACACAAATTAAATAAATAAATGTAATTCAAATATGTTTTAAAGATCACAGAGGCCAGAGAGATGGCTCAGTGCTTAAGAGCATTTGTTGCTCTTCCAAAGGGCTTGGGGTCCAATACTCAACACCCACCATGGTAGCTCATAACCACCTGTAACTCCAGTTCTAGAAAGACAATCCACAATACCCTCTTTTGAACTCTTCAGAAAAAAATGCCCCTACATGAAAAGATCACAGCAACTACAAAGAGGAATGCTTTATTCTTGGTTTTGGTTTTTGTTGTTCTTTTGAGACAAGGTCTCTACGCAGTCTGCTTGTCCTGAACTTGCTACGTAGAACAGGCTAGCCAACAACTCAGGGATCCACCTGCCTCTGCCTCCTGAGTTCTGGAATTAAAGGAGAGTACCACACCTGGCAGGATCATTTTAGATATGAATAATAGTTTCTACAAGGTGTTTGAAATCTTCCAAATTAAAAAGTTGCATGTACATGAGCTTATATATACAAATAAATCAGGATGGGTAACATTATCTGTTCATAACTGGGGAATTCAGCACTTATTTAAGTTACAAAGATCTTGAAAACATAGAAACAAATCTTTAGAAGAAACTAGATTCACTAATAGCTCCTACTGGCTTACTAAGAGTTTTAGATTACTAGAAAGCTGTTAAACTCATAATAACAAGTTCAAGTTTGCAAAACCTCTAATTTTTATTTCAAATAATTTTCTTTTGCTGTAAATTCAGCAAGCTGCTTTTTCCCCCTAAAATGGCAGGCCCATATTTTCATTTGAGAAAATGTTGGTCAGGCCAACCATGTTTGTCTATCATTCTCTCAAGGTAAAAAAAAAAAAAAATGCTACATGTTAACAGCCCACAGTACTTGTCAATTGTGGTGACACATATAGGAAGGATTTGCCAAAATAGAAGGAAGCAGGAGGATCATGAGTTTAAGACCACATTTAAAGTCCTAGGTACCAAATGGTGATGGCACATGCCTTCTTTAATCACTGAATCACTGAACACAGGAGGCATAGGAAAGCGGATCTCCGTGAGTTCAAGCCAAGCTTGGTATACAGAGTGAGTTCCAGGACAGCTAGAGCTACACAGTGAAACCCTGTGTCAAAAACCAAAATAAAAGTCCTGGGATACACATTTTAAAAGAGAGTGGTGGCTTAGCAGTAAAGATCACTAGCTGCTCTACTTGCTCCTCTAGAGGGTCATGAGTTTTATCCCCTGCAAGCACATATTGGCTTACAACTTTCTATGAAATCCAATGCCATCTTCTTGTATACAGGCAGGCATACATGCAGACAAAACAATCATCTACAGGAAATACATAAATCTTAAAAAATAAAATCAAACTTCATTCAATTTATAGAAGTGTTTCATGACTAGTTTCTATATTTATCATGAAGAAAACTAAATACTATTAGCAAGAAAGAATGAAACTGATTTTTATAAATGAACCTCTCCGAAGAAAGAAACAAAAAATCCACATTTTATACAAACTATAGTAGTAATAAACATACTGATTTATTAGCACAACTTGTTGCCAGTGCCATGATATGGTACCAAAAGTTTTATTCATCATTGACTTTAGTACCATGAATGTAAATGTTACAAGTCAATATGGACGTTTGAATGAGAATGGCCCCTATAGGGTTGCCTATACATTTGAGTAGTTGGTAGAGCTTTTAGAACTATTAAGGAGGGATGAGGAGGTGTGACCTCCTTGGAGTTACCCCCTCCCTCCGTCTCTCTCTCTCTCAGACACACTCAGACACACACACACACACACACACACACACACACAGCCTCATGATGGTGAATCAGATGTAAGCGCTTAGCTGCTACTGCTTCAGTACCATGCATGAATGACTGTCATCATGTTCCCCACACCATGATGATCACACACTAATGCTCTGAAACTGTAAGCAAACTCCCAATAAATTCTTTTTTAAGTTGCCTTGGTCATGGTATCTCTTCAAACAACATTAGAGTAACTAAGAAAGTCAAAGAATGAGATGGGGCTACAACTCTGGTGGAACTCCTGCCTGGAATACATGAAGCCCTGTGTTCAATCTGCAGTACCACAAAGAGAAAGAACACATACAATCTTAGTATCATTTGTAAAGACTACTGGCTTCATGCATGGATTCTTTCAAAGAGCCTCAAGGATCACAAGACATCTACAAATTATATTTTCAGAACTGATAGTCTAAAAAGCATATGATTTAATGAAATATCTGAAGATTACTTTCTTGCTAGCAATCTCATTATATACTCACCATTTGTTGATACCCCTGCCTGTGTGTCATCTGCCCTCTCTACATCACTATACAAATGAGGAACACTTTGGTCTACAAGAGGTTGCTCAGTATACTCCGGATAACTCTCTACATGAAGCTGCTGCTGCTGCTGCTGCTGCTGCTGCTGCTGCTGCTGCTGCTGCTGCTGCTGCTGCTGCTGTTGCACATGTGGCACATACACCATGGAGTGCCAGTAGTTATGATGATAGCACTGGAGAAGGAAAAGGTACAACTGAAAACTTGAAAGCGCTTATTGTTCTCTATTCTTAAAGTAGGAAAATTCCTAGCTTAAAGAAATCAGGTCTCAATTCTCAGGTGTTGTAACATTGGATATGGATCTTTTACACCACCTATAGCTCACATTTGTACCAACTATAGCTATTATTTACATCAGCTATATAGCTCATTTATACCCAACTATAGCTATTATTTACACCACCTGTAGCTCTTATTTATACCACCTATAGTTCATATTTACACCTAGGGTTAAATTTAGGTGATCATATTATGGAAACCAAACATATAAACAGACTTATACACAAAGATATCACTTGTAACCTTATTTTTAAAGTAAAAATTACTGAAAAACTTAAGTAATCAATGGAGTTGAGATAATTATCCATGGCAGAATACTACACAGGCAAAAATATATATAAAGACAAAAATATATAAAAAGACAAAAAACCAGGCTGGAGAGATGGCTCAGCAGTTGAAATCACTGACTACTCTTCCATAGGTCCTTAGTTTAATAGCCAGCAACAAGACGGTGGCCCACAATCATCTATAATGGGATTCAATGCCCTCCTCTGGTGTGCAGACATAACATACAGAGCACTCATATACATGAAATACATAAATAAATTGTTTTAAAATGACAAAAAAGGTACTCATAAAAGATTAGAAAATTACATAATATGATGCAGATTTTTAATAAAAATTCAAAATCTATAAGATGTAGCAAAATTACTAATTCTTTTCTTAGCACCTTACAAGTTTCCAACTATACTGTAATGAACACTAAAACACTATCACTTTTAATATAAGAAAGTGAAAAAACGTATTATGTTATCTATCATTCATCTCCTAAAAAGGAATATACTACAACCACCTGGCTTGGTTGATGGTTTTGTTTGTTGTTGTAGTTTGTTTTTTGAGAAGAGTTTCTATATGTTACCTTTGCCCTCCTGAGCTGAAGTGATACTTCCACCTCAGCTTCTTGAGGCACATATCATAATGCCTGGCTAGGAGAATTATTCTTAAATACCTCAATCTTGTGAATTATATATAAAAGTTTCCATATGTGTGTAATAACTTTAGTTACTTTAGGGACAAGTAATTATCAAGTCTTAAACTACATTTGAAAAGAGAGTATCAAAGAACAAATACATACCCTACTATTCTTAATTTAGCTGTATGTTAAAGGAGAAAGGTTTTCTCAGGGAAATTATAGCAATGGGCTATGAATTAACTGAAACATCTTGAAGAGACTATTAGTTTAATGTCATTTGCTAAATATTCATCTGCATAATTATCAGGAAATACGCTACCTGGTTATAGGTTACATTAGTTAGAAGTGAAGTGTATTTAAAGGAGAAAAATGATCCCTGGCTCCACAAGTACCTATACCTCTCAAACTCAGGGAGGTGTTTGGCAAGATCTAAAGTTAGTGCTTTAAAAGGTTATTTAAATGTCTTTGAACTAAGTCTGATTTTCACACCAAATATAAAAATAACCATAAAGTATTAAGTAAACAATGAATCACTCATTCATTCTGGACATATACCACACTGATGGGCTGGCATATAATGCTAAATATGTAGCATAACATAATACATATGAAGTTGTTTTGCTTAGAACCAGGTCCTCATTCTCTTCAACTGAACACTATTTCATAGTAGGACAAACTGAGACATGCTAAAGAAAACTGACCAACATCATCTTCAGAGATTTCCTGAAAGGAATAAGACCTTTTTAGACATTCAGAGTATGGCTTATAAAGTTCAAAAGTCTGATTTCTCAAAAAAAGATTATTTAATATGTTATTCCTACCTGCAATCCAAGATTGAAATAGTACTGCAAAACTTTTGTATCTAAAACAAAACAAAACTTTTATTAGATTGACACAAACAATTTAAATTATCACTTAAAAGCATTTCCCTGCACATTACTAAAGTAGATATAGACAAAGACATCTCACGCACTACCACCACTCTCAATTCTGTTTTAAAGGACTATATTTTCACTTGGCATAGCTATGATCATTTTGTGACACAAGATTTAATCACTCATCACAAATTTCATTTCTGTTCTTAGTATTAGACTGATGCTACTAAAATGCCATTTTGTTACTAAGAAAATAGCTAGAAAAGGCATTTTCTTGCTTGTCTTGAAATGAAAATTTTTACTACAACTACACCTCAATTGCTAGCGCTACTACACAGCACAAACTGCTGCTCTACTAATGCTGAGGAGTGATGCCCACTGAAGAAACTTGGCATACTCACCTTGTTTTGGTTTATCATAACACACTACCACCAGAACTCCAAAGAGGGGACAGTAACCAAGGCAGGTGAAAATGAAGTAAAGCCTAAAAATGATAAAACTTCTCCAAGAATATAACTCAAATAGTTCATAAATTAACCAAAACCAGATGCACAGCAGAAGAAGGAAAGTTTGCAACATTCTTGGCTTTTTTTTTTTTTTTGTATTATTTTAATGTGTGGAACGGACCCCAAGGCCTTGGAAATACTAAATAGAAATTCTACCACTGAGCAACATCTTCAACACTATTCTGAGTATTTTTTTAAATTTATTTATTATGTATACAATATTCTGTCTGTGTGTATGTCTGCAGGCCAGATGAGGGCACCAGACCTCATTACAGATGGTTGTGAGCCACTATGTGGTTACCGGGAATTGAACTCAGGACCTTTGGAAGAGCAGGCAATACTCTTAACCACTGAGCCATCTTTCCAGCACTGAGTATTTTAATAGTATCTGTAAGTGTATTTAGCTTGACTGATCTAGGTCCATTATAAATATAGCCCAATTTCCACTAACAAGATGAATTTGTGGAAAATGTCTCTTTCATAAGCCATAGCCTTCCTATGGAAATGCATTCATTTATTGTTATTTTGAAAAAATCAGTTTAGATTTTGACTAATATATAGGGGTATAAAGCCAAATGCTCAAGTTAAAGAATATGAGAAAAATAGGAAGTAAATTCTCCAGCACACTAAACATGAACACAAAAACCATACCAATGTTTATGGCAGTATCATTAATAGTCAAAAGCAAAAACAACCCAAATCCCCATCAACTAATAGATAACAAATATGGCACAACCATACAATGAGTGTTATTCAACTATACATATTGTGAAGTACTGGTACCTATATACAAGAAGGACGAACCTTACAAACATGCTATTATTCACAAAGGCCAAATTCTGGAACTAGCCTAAATACCTATATAACTGAATGGATAAAGAAAAGGTGGTATATATACACAAGTCCAATTCAGCCATAAACAATAAGAAGGTCATTACTTCTATTGAAAACTAGATGGCACTACAGATAGTATGTGAAATAAGCCAGACTCAGAAAATGTTTGCTTTCATATGGAAAAATCTAATTTGAAAGGTTATCTTTTAGAACCCTATTTTTTTGTATGGGGGAGGGGATTTCAAGACAACATTTTCTGTGTAGCCCTGGTTCTCCTGCAGCTCTCCCTTGTAGATCAGACTGGCCGCAAAAGCAAGAGATCTACCTGATTCTGCCTCCCTGGAATTAAAAGCGTGTGTCGTGCCACCACACCTAGCCTAGAACTCCTTTATTTATTCATGCCAAGGTTAACACCCTACTACCAAGTGTATTTGATGCACTAAAAGAACAAAATCAGAAAATGAAATATCAAAGTACTAGAGAAGTGATTATGACAGGAAGGCTCTAAAATGAGGGTGAGAGGAAAACAATAAAGACTACTGGGTTGGGAATAATAAATCACCACATATTGTCTCATGTGAATCTAGACTTAACTACATATCAATGTATAAAAAGACATGAAAGCAGAAGGGAACTATCTAGAAAAAAAGAACCAGTGGAGGCACCAAGTATGGGGGATGATAGTGGGAATGTGAATATGGTCAAAATATAATAATATACAGTACAAAAATGTCACAATGAAATTCATTATATTATGGTATGGTGATATAAAACCTCATAGTTCCAGCCTTACAAAATCCCAACACAGAAAGGAGAAAATAGATACATAATTCCACCACTAGTTTAAGGGATAATAGTGCTAATAGTTTCTAGTCAGTTTTCTTTAGTGGTGTGAACCCTGGTAGGTTACCACACTACAGAGCAGGCTCCAATCATAAATAGCAGCTTGGGTAACTAACACAAACTGGATTCTATAAGCAAAGAAGAAAAAAACCCTCAAGATTGTGTGGAAAAGGATGGAAGGTTGAGAGGTGCTAAGGAAAGAACTTGAGGGGCATGAATATGTTCAAAAGACATTTTATGAAATTCTCAAAAGAATTTATAAAAATATGTTTTAAAAAAGTACTGGAATATTCAATTAAATACTAATCATAGAAGAAAAACCAAGGAAATCACTAAAGAACATAGATGAACTCAAACACTTATGCACAGTTTAAGAAGCACCGTACAAGTTACACACTGTACTGATTACATTTATATGTAAAACTAATCTATGATAGAAAACAAAATAGCCGAGCAATGATGGTATCTAGGAAAAAAAGTGAAAATGACCAAGGGAAAGACAGGGAAGTAACATAAGTAAATTGTGGGACAGCACAAGGAAGGTAAGTATCTGCCATGCAGGCATAAAGGCATAAATCCAAACCCCAGAACTCATGTATAAAATGCTAAGCATGATGATGCACACACAGTTGTCACCTCAGAATTGGAAAAACTGGGGCAGGAACTGGGTTGGCTGGCTGGATAGTCTAACCTACTTACTAAGTTCTTGGGTGATCATATACAACCTAAAGAGAAACAAAAGGAATGTCTGAGGAACCACAGAGGCTGTTCTCTGGCATGCACATACACGAATATGCACATTCAGGAAAAAATTTATTTAACCAAAAAATTAATAAAAAAAACAAAGTGTTGAGACAATGACAATATTTTACAACTCAGTTGGTAATGACCTACACTGATAACTTATGATTTTGTGTTGTAATGAATACATGAGTACAAATATTAAATTACAGAATCTTTCAAGACATGAATACATTGTACAATAATTAAATTATTGTACAATGATATAATATGTTTAATTAAACATTCTATTTTGTTTTGTTTTTCAAAAGAGGGTTTCTGCTTTGTTTTGGAGGCTGTGTTAAACTCGCTCTGTAAACCAGACTGGCCTCAAAGTCACAGAGATCCACATCCACCTGCCTCTGCCTCCTGAGTGCTGGGACTAAAGGAGTGCTGAGTGCTAGGATTAAAAATGTGTGCCACTCCCCCACCCCCCCCAAAGTAAATAAACACCCTCCCAAAGTAAATAAACATAGTCTTCATTACAAATATTCACCATTCCCTTGTGATAAGAACATTTAAAATCTTTTCTTACTATTTTGAAATATAAAATATATATATCCTATTGTGCAAATACAGCACCAAAACATAGTCCTCATTCATATATATGTAATTCTGTACCTAATAACCAATCTTTTTTAATTTACCCTCATATATTCTTCTCAACATCTAGGGATTAATATCCTATTTTGCATTTCTATGAGATAAATACATGTTTTCATGCTTCTCAAATAAGTTGAGACATGTAATATTTGTCATTTTTTACCTGGCTTATTTTACCGAATACTGTATATGCCTTCTAGATTAATACACAAATGAGAGGATTCTGTCTTTTATATATACGTGAGAAATATTCCCTTGTGTATATATACTCATTTTCATTATCCTTTATGGTTTGCGAGGTCTACTAATAAATACAATTTACCTTTAAAGCTATCAAAAAACAAGATGGGTTAATTTCCAGTCACATGGACAAAAAGAACAATGAGCAAATACGTGATAAAACAATACAAACATCAACAACATAATCTTGCTAGCAATTATACTATCAATTAAAAAAATCAACAATGTTTATCTGGCTATCTTCACAATAATATGCTAAAAAATAGAAAATCAACATTATGTGATGATGGAATACTACTTGGGTGCCAAAGGTGGACAGAATAAAGGAGTCAGGATTTAGATATTGGGTTAAATTAGATAGAAACAACAATAATACTTACAAAATATGAAACCAAGAAGAGGAATAAATGTTTTGTGTTGACTGGTGAAAGACAAGAGGAAAAAGATGAGGAATTTCATTAGAGAGATCATTTAAGTCTGAAAGTCAAAAAGCTAAGTGAAAATGTCTAGTAAGAACCAAAATTTCTGAGCAAAGGCTAGCTAGATTTAGAATAGACTACAAAGAACAGAACAGAGTTGGAGAAAACCTTGTTAACTAGTTCAGGGAATGGAAAGATCTTGGGGGGGGGGAAGCAGCAACTAGAAAAAAAAATCAGGAAAATGCTATAAAGCAAGAAAATATAAGTAAGCTGCTAACAACTTTCAACTCAGGTCAACAAAGAACTTCCAATGGAAAAATCACTGCTGGTTGTTTAAGGAAGCAGAAATATGTGGTTGATATTCAAAGCAGATCAGATGAATAGAAGTTTTCTCCACATCCTCGAAATTCAGTCGGTATACCAAGTATCAAAAAGCTAACAATTTCATACACTTGGGGAAAGACTTTAAGAAATAGAAGAAAGCTTTTAACACTAAATCCCAATTTAAAATAAAATACTTGAGAAAAAAACAAGGTATCTGTCAGGAAAGACATCGAGTTACAAGAGGGGTGCAGAGGAATAGTCAAGATTCAATCAAGCTATCTACAAGATTCTCACAATCACTCCTTGTTCGTCACGTAGAATTATATGCTCAAATCACTCCCATTTAGTTCTGTACCCATCAATTATCCAGAAAATATTCTAGATTCAAAAACCACCTCAAACCTAAATATCCTGCACCAAATCTCAAAATACACTACCTTGTGGCAGATCACTTCCACTTGGATCACAGGAAAAAGGTGGCGGTGGTGGCGGTGGTGGTGGAGGTAAGCCTGAAGCATCTCCTGCTTCAAAAGAAGTTAAAGAAGGAAGTGGAGGAGGAGGTGGTGGTGGTAGTGGTATTGCCATTGCTGTTGCTGCTGAAGGCTGGAGATAGGCTGCAGTAGAAGAAATGGGAGAATTATTAGGGACAGGATGGCAATAACAAAGAAATAAAACATGAAATAGTAATGCACAACTGTTGCCCCTTATAAAGCAATAGCTGACTTGCTTTTTTTACCCCCACCCTGTATAATCACAGAACTCTGAATTCTCAATGGGTTGACTTAAAAAACACACTTGGATATCACCGAATGCAAATTTAAAGATGTTTCCAGCAACCAGTCACAAAATTACACGCAGAGGTTTTAGCAACCTTACAAATTCTCCTGGCAGCCTCCAAAGAATGTAGGGAACTTTAAATTATCAAGATTCAATTCTAAAAAGACAAAGAACTTAAAATGGGATAGATACAATATTGTATCCTTGTAATATCCTGTATCTAACAACAGCTTTAAAAGATTCATCTAGGAGTTTCAATTTCAAAATTGAAATGCAATTATGTTTGCGTATTAAACTTCTATGATGATAAATAATATACCAGGTTAAAACTGTTATTTTGACAAATGCTAAATGAAACAATCCTTCAAATTTAATTGAACAATTTTAGTCAATTTATAAATTAAAGTATCAAACTTCAAAGCTGTGCTAGATACATGATATTTTTAACAATAGATAATAAAGAGTTAAATTCAGAGTCCTAACACATGGGGTTTAGCTTAAAAACAATCCACAAGCTGAATTTGTTACTCTGGAAATTTAGAAAGAAAGGATCTATTTTTGCCTTCATTCACTGGCAATGCTAATAATACATTCATCCTTTAAATACAGTTATATGCTAATAGTAATAGAAGGATGTGTCTACAGATGACACCAAAGCAAAAATGAACTCATAAGCAATTTGAGGAGATGAAGAAACAATTGTCTTTAGACTGAAGTGTTGCTTTCATAAACAATGCAATTGTGAAAAATTTACAGAACTGGATACCAGGAAGTAAATTTTATTAAACCTAAACAGGAAATTTTAACAACTCAAGTAAGTCTTTAGGACTATTTCTTTTTAAGACAAGGTTTCTCTGTGTAGCCATTCTGGAAGTCCACCCCTCTCAGTAGACTAGGTTGGCCTTAAACTCAGAGATCCACCTGTCTGCCTCCCAAGAGATTGGATTAAAAACATGAGCCACCACCACCAAGCTAAGTGAATTCATATTAGCTCTTAGGATTCATATTAGCTTTTAGGATTTTTAAGAAAACCAGGTCACCTAGTTTTGTTGCAGATGCTGTCTATGGCTCTGGATTTTATTTTTCCATTGTTATATGGTGACTCTGATGGAAAAGCTATGCTGTTGGCTACCACTTTTCTAAAACTCTCAAAATTTAAATTATAGTACTTCTTTAAAATTCAGTAACTACTCCATAAACGGGTGCTGTTGGCATTCCCAAGCTCACAGTAATTTGTGTCCATAACGTGTTTAAAACTGCACAGCCAGTGAGTAGTAAAACCAGGATTATAATCTCAGATTTCTTAAATTCTAGAGCTTGGTATTTATTATGACATTCACAAGACAAGGAGTTATTACATGAGTACAGGTTTTATAATAAACTTTAAGGAAATTTATTGCATAAAATAACATCTCTATGTCAATCCTCAAGTAATAAAAACATAGCTCATGGGGCTAGCATGATGGATGGCTCAGTGGATACAAGAAATTGCTAGTGATCAGTTTGATTCCTGAAATTCACATAAAAGTGAAAGAATTATCTCATTAATTCCCTCTAGTCTCAGAATGTTCATCCTTGTTCCTCATATACACATAAAGAAAACGAAAATTTTACAAAACTCAAAATTGTTGAAATAATGCAAGAGCTCTATTTATTCACTGAATAGCAAATGGCAGGTGAAAAATCTTATATAGAGCCCTATTACAAAAGAACAAAAACAAAACCACCAGAATTTAGACTCCTGACTCATATCTTACAGATTCCTTGGCGATAAAACAACCTTAAGAATAATTATTTCTTGAAACTATAATGCCATCTAATAATTAGAATAATAGTACGTAAATATCCATGAGTAGAAAAAGAGGTTTCTAAAGCAAATAAACACTAATAACCTACCTTGACTATCTTGTGCAGGAGGAGGTACAAAGACAGGCTGTATGGTATCCTGTGAGGAAACATCAGAGGTACTTATTGTTTGATTATCTCTTGTATAGTTAAGTAAGACTGGAACAGGAACATGATCGGCCCAGGAACCTATAATTGCTGTAGAATTTTCTAACACCTATTAAGTAGAATAAAGGTTAAAATTCTTAAGTTTGGTTTCTCAAATCATATTTGTTTCTTCTCTGAACTTTAGGAAATTATAATTTTTCTGGTGACAAAGCACTGAGATATCAATTCTTTTGCAGGATCTCTGATTATATTGAGAGTTATCATCCTTTCTGTAAAGATAACACATTAATATTAAAACAATAAAGCCAAAAGTTGGGCATGGTGGAAAGTTTCCCTCCAACTCCTATTCTCTATAAGCCTAGGTGTCATCTTTCTAACTTCTTGACCCCCACAGATTTGTAATATATATTCATTCTCATTTATGTCTATATATAAGACATATATATGTATATGTGTGTGTGTGTATCCACATAAACATTTAAGTAGAAAAGCTGCTTTGTATTTAAGTGTAATTGAATGACTTAATGAAACTAATTTTTTCCTGATTTGGGTGCAAATTTAAAAGAAGATACTACTTCCCCGGGGCGTATGGTATACAGTATCGTGTATAAATATAATAAATAACAGTCTGGACTGTGAAGGTGCATGCTTTTAATCCTAGATGCTGAGAAGCAGAGGCAGGTGGATCTCTAAGTTCGAGGCCAGCCTGGTCTATAGAGCAAGTGCCAGGCAGGACAGCCAGGGCTACTCAGAGAAACTGTCTCAAAAAAGAAAAGAAAAGAAAAAATAAAACCAAAAGAAACACATTAAAAAAAACCCAAATCAAACAAACAACAATAACAAATAGCAAAATAAATAAATCAAATAACAGACTCTTAAACAGTGTCTTTACTGGCAGCCTCCATTTCTCTTCTGAGTACCACAATATGGCTCTTACCCAGTCAGATCATCTAAAACGTCAAAGACATCAATCAAATCCTACTAGAGTCTAGTTAATCTTTACATTGTTTGACCTCTTAGTAAAGAGTCATATTTACTCCTCCTGGAAATGTTCTCACTCCAGGGTTTCAATATGTTCTTCTACTTTTGCCCTGTTCTCGACTATTCCTTATCTACTCATCTTCAAAATTTTGCCTGTGTTCTAAATGCTGGTCTCATACGCTTTCCTTTTCCAGCACTACAAATTCAGCTACCTTTGGAAATGCCAACTTCTAATTCATATCTCAGTAATTAAGAGACTTGAAAAGTAATTTATTATTGACTGATTCATAAGAAGCTCACAGTAAAGCACACAACAGTATCTTATATAGTAGGCACTTAAGTGACTTGTTAAAATAAATATTAATCACTGTGCCAGGTTGAACAGAAGACAAAATAATACTTATAATAATAATATAGGCAGCTGTTCAGAATTTTGATGAAGGCAAAGAAAATAAATCATTTTTTGTATTTAGTTCACTGTAAATGAGTGGTAATACTATAAAGATTACCTTCTGGGGGTAGTTGTATGAGGTAATTGTGTCTTGAGGCACAGAACATGGTTCACTGTCCTGAAGAGACTTTAATAAATACAGAAATATAATTGAATAAAGGGAAGCCAAGAAACAAAAGGCAATTTTCACTCTCCTTTCTACCCTCCATTATAGCCTCTCCAGGCTCATCCCCAGCCCTGTAATGGCCTGCCTGCAGGTGACACTTTTCCCACACTACCCCATGTCTGGGGGACTAGATGTGGATCCAGCTTTCCTCCATTTTGTGGGCCCTCTCTCCTAGCCCCAGCCAATTCCTATTTTTTTCTGACAGTCTCAACCTAAGAAACACTTTCTACCTAGTTCCCCCAATGGGTATACCTGGCAGTGACTGAGGTATGTAATTTACACTATCCTTCCCCTCCATTAAAATTTCCATTTTCCATTCTCACCCTCAGACAGATTGCTTACAGATGCCCCTCCTGTCACCTCCAATTCCATTAACTAAAGACTCCAACTCTGAACCAAGCTTCCCCCTAAGTTTTTCATCCCTGTCTCTCTAGATTATTTGCCTTACTTCAACCTACCTCCATACCTCCAACCAACTCCCTAGGACCCCACCTCTTGATGTGAACAGGATACCCTTGCCTTTTTCCTGAAGCCCCTCCCTCTCAACCTTTAGTCCCAGTCAACCCTCCATTCCTCTCAGCAACCCATCAACCTGCAGAAGCACTCAATAGCAAGCAACCCACAGATACAACACTTTCCTAATACCCAAAAAAGGCAAAAAAAAAAAAAAAGAATGTAATACATACTCAACAAATACAAGACCTGACATTACCACCTAGAATCACCTCAATTATACTGATGCTGGATATCTAAACACTAGTACAGAAGCACAAACATCAACAGCCATGACAATATGCCTCCATCAGAACCCAGTAGTCTTATAGTATAGTAGGAACCAAGAAATGCAATATAGCTGAAGCACAAGACAAGGAAAGACTTCAAAACAGCTATTATGAAAAAGTCTTGAGCTCATTAGTACAGAGAAAGACTTTCTGAAGAGAACACTGTTAGCAGACACTAAGAATAGCAAATGGGACCTCATGAAATCTAGAAGCCTCTAAATGGTAAAGGACACCATCATTCAGACAAAGCAGCAAGAAGCAGAATGGGAAAAGATATTTACCAACTACCATGTGACAGGGCTAACATCTAAAAGGTATAAAGAATTATAAAAACTGAATATCAAATAACACCATTATAAGGTTCAACCAAACAGTTTCAAAAGATGAAATACAAATGACTGAGAATCACATAAAGAAATGTTCAAAATCCTTAGCCACCAGGAAAAACTACTTTGAGATTTCATCTTATACAACTCAAAATGGTCATAGATTAAATCTCTACCAACAGATAGATGGATAATAAAAATATGGTATATTCAAAAATTGACCTATTACTCAGCTGTTTAAAAGAAACCCGGAATTGCAAGTAAACATGGATGGAGCTAAAAAATTATCCTGAATAAAAGGTATCTAAAACTCCAAAAGTATGTTATGTATTCTTGTATATTTGGATGACAACCGTTAAGCCTTTGATAGGCATGCTACAATCCTTATAACCACAGAGACAGTGGCAGCATGCACATGGCCTACACAGATTCAAGCCAGATGGGGTCCCAATGCTGAGTGAGGAAGTAGACAGAAGTTCCAATTCATAACTCAGAAGCTATTTCCAATTGACAACAACTTACAAAGAAAAATTTCTTTCCTCTAATGGAGTTTCCTTAGTACATATAGCACACTAAGGTTAGGCCCCATGCCCAGCAGTAGATGGCAACACAAAACAAATTCATTGGTATTTTTAGAGGAGGGGAAGGTATCTCACATTGCTGTAGTTGGTAATTATTTACTTTACTGGGCTTTTGCTTGTGTTATTACAGTTTCTAATTTTGTGTTTTTATGAGGTGTGAGTGTGTGACTTTTTGTTGCCCATACTTTTTTTTATTCTGTTTTTATTTGCCCATTTATTTTCTAAAAAGAGGTAGAGAGAAGACATGGATGTGGGTGTCTGGAAAGGTATGGGAGAACTGAGAGATGAGGAAGAGGGTATAGTGATCAGAATATATGGCATGAAAAAAGTTATTTTCTATAAAAAATAAATAGAAAATAAGTGAAATATTTTAATTTGCTTTAATGTCAAAAACTAAATAAAAGTGATCTTCCTAAAATCATTTAAGTTTGAAAATAACTAATATAAATAATACAAAAGTGATCATACTAATAATTCCTGATTTAGGTGCTCATCTCTTTATCTATAGTCGCTACATCCTCCTGTAGAACAATTAAGTACTAAAATGCAAATGAAGATCAAAATGTAAGCACTTAAGATGAACTTTCTGACCAAAAATATAAAAATACACCTTCAAACATACTATGAACAAACAGTAACTTTAAAGAATTGTAGCTAGGAAGGATGTAACAGATTGAATAGGATCCAAACAGTCCTGCCCTCTGGTATAAGATCCTGACTTTGTAAGATATAATTCAGAAAGGCTATGTCTCATATATGAAACAAGGTGATTGAAAAGTAGAGTGGCATCTGGCAGTGGTAGCCCACGCCTTTAATCCCAGCACTCAGAAGGCAGAGGCAGTGGATTTCTGTGAGTTTAAGGTCAGCCTGTTCTATAAGAGCTCCTTCCAGAACAGGCTCTAAAACTACACAGAGAAACCCTATGTCAAAGAAAAAAGAAGAAGAAGAAAGGCAAAATGGAACATAACATAGAGGCACTGACTGCTATGGGGTATGTGATAAAGTCAACTCTGAACAAAAAACAACATGAAAAGCGAATTTAAAATGACAGAAAACAAAGTGTTCATTCTTGTCATCTTTAAGGCTGGGATTTTTTAAAAATATTTATTTATTTATTATGTATACAATATTTTGTGTGTATGCGTGCAGGCCAGAAGAGGGCACCAGACCCCATTACAGATGGTTGTGAGCCACCATGTGGTTGCTGGGAATTGAACTCAGGACCTTTGGAAGAGCAGGCAATGCTCTTAACCTCTGAGCCATCTCTCCAGCCCCAAGGCTGGGATATTATTTCCCTTTTCATTTCAGCTATTTCAAGAGATCATATTTTTAAAAGCTTATAAGAATAGTTTGGGTGAAAAAAGCTTTTAATTAAAAGGAAAAAAGGAAAACCAAAGGATAAAAAATTAAATCAGAATTTTTACTTGCTTCCTATGATGTTATTTCATAAAACGTAAAAGCAAACATTTAGTTCATGAAACTACTAGTTAATAATTCAAAAATATAGTCACTATACAAGTTCTTCAAATATCAACTTCTCCAAGAAACATGATAGGAATGCCCTTTTTGTTTCAAAATCACATTATACAACTTAAGCCATATGCAGAAACAAAATTTCTGTTCTCTCTCATATATGGAAACTTAAGAAATAAAATTTAAAATAAAAAGTACCTGAAAGTGAAAGACAGCTGATTAGGAACTAAAAAGGGGCCAGAAGTAAAAAAAGGGGGAAACAATGGACATAAGTAATGAATGATACTTCCATGCACAGAAATGGAACAGAAAAACTCAATGTGTAAAAATAACATGTAACAATCATAAGAAAGTGAAAAGAAAAATAAAGTGTTCACTGAGATGTGGGGGAGGAATCCAAAGGCATAACTTAGCTCAACACAAACTGGTAACTAGAAACAGGATGCTGCAGCAAAAGAAAACTAAGTGGGAAGGAGATTATGATTTGTGGCAGTTGTTTAAAAAATGAATGTCAATAATGTTTTGACTTTTTTAACACAAGTATACAGACACCATTAGTAGTGTGTAGACAGGAATGAAAGGGAATAAAATCTCTTGCATATAGGAATCATAAGGTTAAGAAACACTTATTGTAAACTTCAGCAACAGAAGAGACTAAAAGCTTTGAATGACAAAAACAAGTTAAACTCAGTTCCATAGTATGCATCAAAATAGGTACCTTTATTTTTTTTATTATTTCATTAACTTTTCTATAAAAATAATTAAGATCTCTGTGTACATTATGATGAATGATTCAAAATAAGACTTGAATGGATTCAACACATGTAATTATTTCCTGGAAAATTTATGGATCCTTCACTAGTACTTGATGTACTAAATCGACTTGGAATCAAGTGGAAGAATAAAGCAAGGCAAATATAAGCAGTGCATCTAATCTACAAAAAGAATTAGCAATATGGCTACTGATAATCAAAATCTAAATAAATTAATCAGCTAAAAAATTAGTAAGTCAAAAACTAAATCTGTGCAAGTAAATAAAATAATTTTGGGGGCCAAGCAGTGGTAGCACATGCCTTTAATCCCAGTGCTTCGGAAGTAAAGCAGGTGGATCTCTGAGTTCAAGGCCAGCTTGGTCTACATAGTGAGTACACGGAGAAACCCTGTCTCGAAAAACTAAAGAACTACAAAAAAAAAATTAAATAATAATAATAATAATAAATCCTGGCTCTCCAGTTTTCTTTAGAATGTATACCAGGTGTGGTGTCAATTTGCCTTTTATCCCAGAACCCAGGAGGCAAAGGCAACAGATCTCTTGTGAGTTCAAGACCAGCCCATTTACATGGTGAGTTTCAGGTCAACCAGAGCTATATAATAAGACCCTATCTCAAAACACCAAAACAAGTAAGAAAACCAAAAACAATGCAGGACAAAAAGTCACTCACTATTCATCAATTCCAACTTCATATATGGCCAAGGAAAAAGAAAGCTAAGAGTCCCCAGATAGTTCCCATAAATAGCTAAGAGACCAACAACAGAATGTATGACCTCAAGATCTCAGAAATGCTACAGATCAGTAATTTTTTTCTTTTATATTCCTATATTCTAAGCAGGAATTTTATTATTTTCTTTTCTTTTTTAAGATTTATTTATTTATTTATTTATTTATTTATTTACTTAATGTTTCGCCTGCATATACTCTGTGTGAGGGTGTCGGATCCCCTAGAACTATCAATTATAGACAGCTGTGAGCTGCCATGTGGGTGCTGGGAATTGAACCCAGGTCTTCTGGAAGAGTAGTCAATGCTCGTAAACCACTGAGCCATCTCTCCAGCCCCTTATTACTTTTCAGCTACTCCATGAGTAAACTGAGCTGCATGCATGGTATGAAGGCTTTTAGTTTTAGACCTCCAAGATTATATATATGTGTGTGTGTGTGTGTGTGTGTGTGTATACACACACACATATATATACATATACACACATACATACATATATATGCATACATACACACATGTATGTATATGGATTCAGTATCTACATATTACCCAGAAATATTAGGCTTTGCAGTTACCTCTTTTGGAGTAAGAGCTAGTGCTAGTAGTTGAACTTTGGGAAGGAGATAACATTGAACACAGTTCTTATTCTTAGTCCTATCAAAGTATTTCCAACTTTCTGTTTTCTAGACATTGAAAGGTTCTAGTGGGATTTGCTGTGGTAAGTAAAATGAAAAGGAAAATGGTTAATTTTTCTTTCCAGTGCCAGCACACCATACAGTTTCTGTCTTGCAATCATGAATGAAGGCCACATCTGAGTCCCTAAGCAAGCTCTCCTACAAAACTCCACTGTGCCCTAACTATACAGTATATAAGCTATTCATATACATTATTATTAAATACCTACCAGGTTTGCTGTAGATACAGTTGTGGTATATACACTGGACGTTTCATAGCCTTGTTCTAGAGGATATAGCCAAAGCAAAAAAAAAAAAAAAAAAAAAGAGCATTATTTTACTTTAACATAAATAAACAATGAAGAATATCAAATTAAATCTATATTTCACTGACCTGAAGAATAAAGATAATCTCCATGACATCCTCCTAGAAAACAGAAATGTATGTACACAGATCTTTTTAAATTGGCAGAGTAAAATGTCCAGTTTGGGCATATTTTCAAAACTAAAATATATGACTTAAAGTCATTTGAGCCTTCTTATTAGTCAACAAAAGACAAAGTAAGCTGTCAATAGTACAAATCTCTGCTCAAAATTCCCTGAGATAAGTAGCAGAGACAATTTTAGAAGTATCTTATTAATAAAGTCACTCAAAATGTCTCACACACCCTTACAGTACATAATTCTTCAGAATCGTTCAATAATAATGTATCATTGACTGGTAAATAGTAAAAATAAATAAATGCCAAACAAAGAAAAGTAGCTATTTTAAGTATACATAGAGACAAATACAAATCATAGTTTGGGTATAAATGAGGAATGGTCTTTAGGAAAGGATGAGATTGTAGAGCAGATTATATGAATACATGCAAACATGCACATGCACACATGCACACACACACACACTGAATTGTACACTAAGTAAGTAAATTGTTTTGGTATGTAATTTTTTATCTCAAGTTAAATATGTCAGTGCCATTATCAAGAGTATAGCCTTTACCATTTTGTCAACTTTTGAACCTCAATTTCCTCACATATAAAGAAATGCTGTATTTCCCATAATTATCATAAAGACTGTGAATAAATTATAATCATTTACTAGAATGGATGGTAGATAGCATTCAATAAATCTTAAAATGTTTTCAGTTCAAGTAAGAACTTTTGGGGTCACATGGGCCCTGGGATTTGAACTCCAGTCCTCGGGTTTGCCTGGCAAGCACTTTATCCATTGAAGCATCTCACCATTCCTAATACTTCTTTCAAGTTATCAGAAAGGTATGAAACTCCCAAAATAATATTTCCAAGTTCTGATATACAAATGCAACAATCAACTTTTCAAAAATTACTAAGCACTAATTCACTCACCGTTGTCACACTGGTCAGTGCTGTTTTCTGAATTCAAAGTTGGTTTGCATGAGTTATATCCCTGACTTGCAACACGGTATCCTGAAGTAACAGGAACCATTGAAGTGGAATTACCACTGCTCTGTACCAAAGAAAGACATATGCACATGTATTTGTCAGAGAAAAGTTTGGAAGGGTATTCTAAACGTCAGTTAAAGACACTAAATTTTGAGTTAATACCGTAAGATTAATGTCGCTACTTTAATACTTTAGAGTCCAAAAGAGGTGAAGCAATAAAAGAGAAAATGTTAGTTTCCTTATACCCCAGATGGTCTAAACCACTATCTTCTCAGTAGCAGCTCCAAAATATGTTTTCTTAACTATAAATCGCTAAAGTAATGGTTTCATAGTTTCTGAAGATTTTATTAAGTTGTTCATATGAAAAATGTTAAAATTAGGCCTGTGGATGTATTATAGAGGTAAAATACATATGCAAAGCCTAGTTTTGATCCTAGGGGTGGGGTAAGGGTAGAAATCACATACACACACACACACACACAAAAAAAAAAACACATTTCACCATATAGCATTTTTAAAAAAATGAAAAATCTTTTTCAGTAAAGTTATCACCCACTTACAGGTAAAGTTGAATAAGCATTCTCATTCCCTTCAAGTGCATAAAATGTAACATTTTCTTCCACGCCATTCTTAGGAACAAAACCATACTGGCATTCCTTATTCATGCATTCCATCTGACGGTGGCTACGCCTAAAAGAACTTAAATATGGAAATCAAAATGAGAAAATAAGATAAAATATGGCAGTAATTTGCTTCTAATTTTTCAGTGAAGACAAGTATCTGATAACAGATGCTTTTGGGTTTAATTTATGAGTATGAGTATGAGTATTTTGCTCACTTGTATGTCTGTACACTATGTGTATGGTGTCTATAGAGAGATCAGAGGATCCCCTAGGATTTGAATCCTGTTCTTTAGAAGAACAACTAATGTTTTTATTCCTTAAGCCATCTCTCTAGGCCCCAAACTAAGGTTTTAGAAAGATGGTACACATTATCATTGCTTAGCAAAAAAAACTACTCACACCAATTTTCTCTCAACTTTTAATACTTCAAATTCTTACCGAGACCTATAGGAGACATTATCAGAGCTCTGGCAGCACCTTCTACCTTGGCCAGGGTAAAATCCAACTTTAGGATTTGGCATGTTTTGCCTGTTTACTAAGTGAGACGAATCCCTAAAAATAAAAAATAAAAATAAAAAAAAAAAAAGAGAAATACCTAACTCTTGCAAGTCTCAATAGTTAAGTAGAATTAACATAGTTTCTGAATACATTCAACTAGAAAGACTTTTGTAATGGTATTGGGCCTATCAAATACTAATAGAGACACAGGCATATTTCATATAGACACTTGTTTCTGATGGCATTCTATCTTTAAGCATCTAAGTGTTCACGTTTTTGTAGACAATGAATATATAGTTATGCCAAAGGATGACAAGGATAACTATGTGTCAGCTCTATGCTATCTTTTGGCACAAACTATAGAAGCTATATTTGTCAATTATACTATAATTCAGTATGGGAGTTATTTCTAAAAACCAAAACAATGGCATACATTATCATGAAAATCAATTAATTCTTACCTGGGCATCCCATATCCCCGACCTTGTCTTTGAGATGAATGTTGAGGGTAGAAATGTTCACTAGACAAAATTTGGCCAGCTGTCTGTGAATAGTACAATAGTGGGTCATGCCCAAAATGCATACTATGCTGAATTCTGGGTGGGACAAGTGGGTCTCCCCTGCTATAAGCCATCGTCATATAAACTTCTTTTCCTCGAACTTTCTTGGACATCTTCTTCCGTTGCTTCATGTTCATATCTGTCATAACTTTCAAAAAACAAATAGTAAATAAGCATTATATCCAAAGTAAATGGTTATGTTACTCTATCATACCAACTGTCACATAGATACTTTTCTTAGAAACAAAATAAGTATGGAAGTATAAAGTAGAAATGGATGCAGTTTTTCAAAGATATATATACCAATTGGAAGGGCCAAAGAAACAGTTCACTTCTGTGTTGATGGGTGTTTTAAATAGCATTTCAACCCTCTCTTTAATACTGGCAGATTTGGTCATCAGAAAATAGTCATCTAGTCACCCAAATTATTTTTCTCTAAAAAAAATACGTTGAATACATCTGGTTGCTTTTATGAGATGTCTTCCTAACTCTTTAAAAATACTTAAACTCTGTTTATGAGGTAGTCTAGAAAGTGGTTTCTCAAACAAGGACAATGCCGTCACCTGCCTCCTACAAGAGTATATCTATTAATGTCCAGAGACAATTTTATTGTTATGACTAAGCAAAATAGCCTATTGGTACCAATGGTATAGGCATCAAGGATCAATCTAGAATATACAGGATACCACTCTTCTCTCCACCAAAGCATTAGCTATCCTAGCACAGCAGTGTGGAAGAAATGCTACTCTACAACAGAACATATGACATACCTTTAGAAATTATAATGTAAGTAAACTGAAATATAAAATAAAGAAAAAGAAAAGAAAACCAGTTGGGATACAAACCTATTTGTGGGAAATAGCCTCCAGTTATAGCCTGGTAACCTCTTCCTTTACGGGTTGGAATAGTAATCCAGGAAGGAAGAAGTGCCACTTGGTTGACTGGTTTTACATTAGTCATGGGAACTGCATGCCTTGAAGTGAAAAGATATCATGAAGCCATTATAACACACACCTAGCTCTCATCCAAGTAAACAAATGTAGCCTTCCTGCTTCAGTTTTTAAGCACATTTCCTTTTTCAGTTTTCCTTGGCTGGCCTGGAACCCACTGCCTCAAGCTGAGATATTTGCCACTTCAGTCTCCTGAGTGTGAAAAATAAGGCACACACCTTGACCCCTGACTCAAGTGCATTTTCTTTAAGTCTTTTGTTATATTAGCTTTCCTATACACTTGTTAGTTTATATAATTTTATAGCCATTTAGTGTCTATCATATCCAGAATATGATGATAGATTGTATTAACTCACAAAAATCTGTTTTCTTTCCATGAAAGAAGATCATTATTTACTAACCAGACTCCTATCAGATTTGGGTATATAAATTACACTAACTTTGACCAATTAAAAAGTGAAATGTTTTTGGAGTATCAAATTGCCATGTCATGGTCTTATTTTCTATATCTGTTATCATGAAAGCATGTTTCAAAACAAAACCTTTAGCCAGAATCTGACCTTCAAGCTCAAGACCAGAAAGGAAAACTAGTTACTGTCTCAAAATAAAAAGTAGTAATGTACATACAAATACTGAAAAGGTAATATATTTAAGAATATATACATACATGGGCATGTAACAATTAATAAAAAAAGTAAGAAGAGAAAGTATATGGGCGGGTTTAGAGTGAGATAAGTGAGAAATGATGTAATTAAATTCTTGTCTCAAAAAAATTAAAAATAGTAAGGGCTAGGAAATAGTCAGTTAAACTGCTTGTCTAGGAAGTATAAGGTCCCAGGTTTAATACACACTGTTGGAGGATGTGTGTCACTGTAGAGGTGGGCTTTGAGGTCTCATATATGCTCGAGTCATACTCAGTGAGACAGATTCCTTCCTGTTGCCTGATGAATCAAGATATAGCAGCTCCTTTTCCAGCAATACAATTGCCTGTACACAGCCATGGTCATCCCTGCCACCCCCATGATGATAATGGACTAAACCTCTGAAATGTAAGCTGCCACCTCAATTAAATGCTTTCCAAGACTGGTCATGGTGTCTCTTCATAGCAATAGAAAGCCTAACTAAGAAACACAGGCAGAAACTCGACAACTCACTTTTCAAATTATCATGAATATTACATCAAAATTCTGTTGGACTTGATATATCGAACTGTCCAATGTCTAGAATGGAGAATTTTTATATGAAACATATTTTGATATTTTACTTCTCAACATTGACTTTTATTAAGCAAATAATTAGTTTAGCAGATACAATTGAGTTTCTTTACTAGAATCCTGATAATTCTCAATCTAATGAGCAAACACCTATTAAATTTAATTACTATACAATCTTACTTTTCTGCCAGTTCCTCAATGAAAACTATTAGTGAGTTTTTGTCACTTTCAATTTCTTGAATATGAGCATTATAATATTTTCCATCTGGTTCCAAGCAAACCTGAAAGATAGGAAATAGTAGTTATATAGTAATTCATCTGGTCTTGTCCACTGACAAATCTGTGTTTAGCCAAATAACCATTTCTCTCTAAATGTAATTCAATGTCTACTTTTGGAGATTTATCTATCTATCTATCTATCTATCTATCTATCTATCTATCTATCTAATCTATCTATCTACCTATCTATTTATTATGCATGCAATGTTCTGCCTACGTGTATGCCTGCATACCAGAAGATGGAACCAGATGTCATTACAGATGATTGTGAGCCACTGCATGGTTGCTGGGAATTGAACTCAGAACCTTTGGAAGAGCAGTGTTCTTAACTGCAATGCCATCTCTAGCCCCAATGTCTGCTTTTTTAAAGTAACTGAGATCATAGCCAGTATATATCAATTTACATCAAATTATCACAAAATCAATAATTAAAATTTAACACAATACAAAGAAATCTTTCTTCTAACATTTTGTAAAGAAGTCTTCATCAACGTTTTTGCTGTTGAGCTGGGCATACAATCGAGAGCCTTAGACAGGCTAGCCAAGTATTCTACAACTGAGAGCTATACCCTCAACCCTTTTTTTTTTTTCAGACAATGTCTGAAAAAGCTCAACCTGGCCTTGAATGTATTATTCTCCTTTCTATGCTTCCTGAGAGATAGGATAACAGACGTGCATCACTATGCCCAAGATAATCAACTCATGTTAATGGTTAAAGGTACAAATCATTATCTTTAAAGAAGGAACTGACCTGACACTTGTCCCCTAAATGGTAAAGTCTTCCAGCATATTCTATGCAATCTGGTTTTTGAAGTTCTATTAAAGAAAAAGATTAAAAGTTCAATTTAATTGAATCCTTTTTTCTTACTGCACATTATTTAATTACCTCATTTACTTTAACACAATGAATTTAATGATGCTGTTAGTAGAAGAAATGTCCCAAAGGGTCATTCTAACACCCTTGATGGGTTATTGCTATGGTTAGTTTATTAAACAGACCTGCAAAATCAGTTCTGCAATTTAAATTTAAAGCACACTTAGGTAAAAATTTGTAGTTTCAGATTTGGTTAAACACAAAAGTCACAATTTGAAAGTAATACCAAGAAGCCTCATGCACATGTGTGTAAGTACTTATAAGTATTTCTTTTACTTTGTTATACAAGGTCTTAACTTTCATTCTAATTAACCATGCTGAATTCATCAAACTTCAAGAAGTTGAATGTAAGATATTATCCCGTGCAAGCAGTATATTAACAGCTAGTTTGATGAATTCAATTATATAATCTACAGAAAACAATTTACATTAAGAGTTACTTTTATTAAAAGTTATTTTCATAAATATGTCCTATAAAGAGCCAGCCAGCCAATTTTAGATATTTTGCATCACTAAACTTTCAAAATTAATCAGTTCTCTGTGGGTGAGGGCACTTGTTAATGAACATTTAAAATTTGTCCTCTAGACTGGATGATGGTGGCAAAAATCTTTAATTCCAGCACTCTTGAGGTAGAGGCAAAAGATCTTGAGTTCACAGCCATCCTGGTCTACAAAGCAAGTTCCAGGAGAGCCAGGCTACACAGAGAAATTCTGTCTTGAAAAATCAAATAACGAGGGTACAAAATTTGTCTTCCCATGCAATGCACCTTTAGTACATTGATATGTATGTGAAAATGAATAAAATTAATAAAAATATTCCTTCTTAAAATATTTAATAAACACTGAGTTATATAATTTTCATGTCTCAAAAAAAGTAAATAATAAAAAATAAAAATTGCAAATATCATTCTCAGCTCATGGACCAAACAAAAATGTGTGAGGTCAGAACTCATTTACTGTCCTGATTTATTTATCAATCAACATAATCACAATGCTTAAATTTTGGATAAGTTTTTTTTTCCATTCACTAAACATCCATTGTACTCTTGAAGTTACCTACAGGCTTTCTCTGTACATCATCACAGTTTTAGTCCCAGGTAAACATACAGCTCCATTTATAAACTTACTTTTCATAGATTTAAACCACATACAGGTAGTACTAGGTTCCTTTGATCTTTTTTATTTAAACAGTGTGGTAGTTTGAAATTTAATTTGTCCCCCATAATCTCATATAGAGTGGCACTGTTAGGAAGTGTAGTTTTTTGGGGGCAAGTATGTCACCTTGGAGGCGGGTCTAAGGTCTTACATATGCTTGAAGCACGAATGAGACAGATCACTTCCTGTTGTCTGTTGGATCAAGATGTACCAGCTCCTTCTCCAGCACCATGTCTGCTTATATGCCACTATGCTCCCCACCATGACCATAATGGACTAAACCTCTGAACTATAATTAAACCACCCAAATTAAATGTTTTCCTTTATAAGGGCTGCTGTGGTCATGTCTCTTCACAGCAACTAAGACAAACTGTTTAATGAAAGCATGTCTTCTAAGAAATGACTTACAATATGATCTCTTGTATCTATTGGGATTAAGAGTTACCCTGCTGATAACATTATTACCTTTTCTACTGTCCAACCAAGCATCAAATTCTATATTGCGATAGATTTCTGGAGCTAGACCTTTCAGCACTTTATAAGGAAAGGGAATCTTCGATGGAGTTTCTGGAGACTGAAACAAAATTAGTAATGCTATAAATTCATCATCTTTAAAGTCATACTTTTATGAAAAATGAATCAAAGGTCACTTGATAAAATGAAGCAATATCATCAAATACTGACGACAAACTAAGTATTAAATTTATATTATTACTTTAATTTCAAAATAAAAGTTTCTAAAATACTTTGAGTGTTCAGAGTTAATTTTGAAAATTCTACTACTTAAGAATAAAAAATCATCAAGCTGGAAAGATGGCTTAGTGGTTAAGGGTATTGGTTGCCTTTCTAGGTCTTGAGTTTAATTCCCAGAAACCATATGGTGGCCAGCAGCCATCCATAATGAGATCTGGTGCCCTCTTCTGGCCTGCAGGGAGACTTGCAGGCAAAATACTGTATACATAATAAATAAAATCCTTTAAAAAAAAAGAATAAAAATTATCACAAAGTACATATTTTATATATTTAGAAAAGTAGGATTTCCACAAAGGAAAAAAATATTCTTCTTGGCTCTAGATAATTAGAATGGACTATCTTGTTTTAATTATTTTAATTTATGGTGCTCTAAGACAAGTGTATGAACATTCTCTGCCTGAGAAAATATCAAACCTTCTGTTCTTCTGTTCCTTGCTTACTGTCTTCTGGTGTATTTTCGATACTGGAGCTGGCACCAATCTCTTTGATTCTAATAGAAAAGATTCAGAGAAAATATTATATAAATGCAGCAAGTGTTTCTCTATGTCTCACCTACGTCACACCACTCAGTGGTAATTCTAAAAAATGAAGCAAGTTTTCAACACATCCTCATTGGGTTTCTATGTTAAGTGTGTATTAAAAAATACTTAGCAGATTACTTTCTATTAAGATGGTCCTGTGATCCTCACTTTTAAATGTTCACAGCTTCTGATTCCTCTGCCATCAAGCTGCTTCTAATCATAGAGAACTTATGTAATCACATTACAAATAGACACATACACAAACACCCCATATCGCCCACCCATTTTGATGGTATCACTTTCCCCTGTTGCCAGTACAAAAGTAAGTAGCCATATTCATAAATTTCAAAGTAGGTCACTCTTCAATCAACAACAAAAAACTAAAGCTATCAATTAACTAGAAAGAATAAAATGCTACCAGGCACCTTGAATGTGTATTTCCCAAATCCAGTTAAGAACTCAGTCCTGGAGCTTCTTCTCTACAGTCTTGTAACATGATTAACAGAAGTATAAGCTAAGCCATGGCATTATTTCTAAACCACATGAGCATCAATGAGTTGTTTAAAGCTGGCAACTTTGTAGTAATATTGCCTCTTAACTACTATAGCTTCCATAAATCCAAAGCCCTTAAAAATTAGCAAAGAATGAAGAAATCTTCACTTGGACAAAAAACTGTTGCCACTCCTCATGCTCCCAAATAAGCTTTAAAAAAAATATTCTTCTGATGGTTCAGTGGGTACAAATACTGGCTGCTAAGCCAGATAACTGACCTGGATGTTATATTGTCTTCTTAAAGCAGATTTTTTTTTTTTTTTTGCTTTTTTTGAGACAGGGTTTCTCTGTGGTTTTGGAGCCTGTCCTGGAACTAGCTCTTGTAGACCAGGCTAGTCTCGAACTCACAGAGATCCGCCTGCCTCTGCCTCCCGAGTGCTGGGATTAAAGACGTGCGCCACCACCGCCCGGCTTAAAGCAGATTCTTAAACCCAACCTGACCTCATATGTTATGACAAAAGGTACAGAAATCTGTCTAATCAACAAATAACTTATATATAACTAAATTTGGAGAATACTAATTCTAAAGTCTCTTCTAGAAAAAAAGATGATTCTAACTTTAACTGAACTTTAAGTCTAAGCATTTCTTACAATACAATTTGGTAAACTTTTGTCTTCCAATTAAAAACAATTTATACGTAGCATACATATATGTGCACATATGTAATCAGCTATTTCTACTTTCAGATGCTAACTCAAAGAAGTATGAAATCATAGAGTTGACAACCCTTAATCATAAGAGCTGACAACCTTTTTCTTTCAGTACCTATCCTGGGTTGAGCTTTTCTGATCAGTACTGGCTTCTACATTTCCAGTCAAAGCATGGTTTTTGTTTCTCCTGGAACCACTTCGAAACAAATCAACTGCAGTTTTCAATAGTTCTTCATCCACAGCAAATACATCTTTATAAAGCATTTCATATAATATAGCTGAAGGAAGAAAAAGAACCAAAATCAGAATTGTCATAACAATGTTAAAACATTCATAAGCTAGCATTTAGGTTCTATAGGTGGCAACAATGTTTTAAAAGTCCTTCAGTTTAAAGACTGGTAACAAATCATCTGAAATCACACCCATACATTTACTTATTATACCTTGGCAAATTCCTGCAGTTGATTGAAATTCTTTTGAGTACACAGAATCATAGTGGCCATTATTTGAATAACAGAGAAGAATCTAAAGAAAAACATACAGAATAATTGTTATTGTTAACATATCTTTTGTAACCATAAAATTAAGATGGAAATCAGCAGTTAATAAACTAAATTGAATTTTATTCTTAAAAGACATTTAGCAAATGTAGAAATAAGAAAATACAATCTACACTTCAAAAAGAAACTATGACTTTTATGCAACAAGATTGAAAACACCAGCCTCAATCACATTCCTGAAATTCACTAAACAAGTCCTGACTGATGGATTTGCATTAAGATAGAATTTTTCACAAATTCAATTGCTGAACAAAACAGAAAGCCTAATAGATGTCGGAAGTCCAATCTTAATTTCTCGGAATAACTGGAGAAATTATGTAAAATATCCTACTATCCAACTATCCAAAATCTAGACAGAGTGAAAAAGGACAAACATTAAACAATTTGTTCAAAAGGGTTAAAGAAGGTTCAAATGAGGAGTAGAAAGAGGGAGAACAGAAACAAAGAAGTCAGGACCGCGAGGGGTATGTCCACCCACTGAGACAATGGGACTGATCTAATGGGAGATCACCAAGGCCAGCTGGACTGGGACTGATGGAGCATGGGATAAAACCGGACTCTCTGAACGTGGCTGACAATGAGGGCTGACTAAGAAGCCAAGGACAATGGCACTGGATTTTGATCCTACTGCATGTACTGGCTTTGTGGGGGCCTAGTCTGTTTGGATGCTCACCTTCCTAGACCTGGATGGAGGGGGGAGGACCTTGGACTTCCCACAGGGCAGTGAACCTGGACTGCTCTTTGGACTGGAAAGGGAGGGAAAGGAGGTGTGGGGGAGGGGAAGGGAAATGGGAAGAGGGGAGAAGGTAGAAATTTCTAATAAAAAAAAAAAGGGTAAAAGAAAAATCACTGCAGAATAGAATATGAAGAATATACTATGGAGAAAGGACATTTCCAGAGAAATTGTAAGTTACTGATATGGCTACAAAAATAAAGCATTAACTTCTTAGCTGATTCCTTAAATTCCCAGGCCTTTACAAAACAATTCCAGGGCTGTGTTTATTAAACTAAAACTTTTAAGTAAATGTTTCCTATGACAAAATTTGTTCATGTAATAGCTGTAATCATTTTTAATATTTTTGCTCAAAAATCTGTTTTGAATCAAGCACTAGTGAAAGAGCAATTCCAATTGAAAACTCAAAAAAAAAATTCATGTAGGAATGTAGAGGTTTTTTTTTTTTTTTTTTTGAAACAAGGGACAAGGTTTCTCTGTGTAGCCCTGGCTGTCCTGGAACTCACTCTGTAGACCAGACTGATCTCAAACTCACAAGATCAAATTTAAATCTTACAGATTCTGGGGCTAAAGGTGTTGCTTAAATGCACAGTATTTGCCTACCATGCTCTCGAGGCTGGAGAGATGGCTCAGCAGTTAAAAGCACTGACTGCTCTTCCAGAGGTCCTGAGTTCAATTCCCAGCAACCACATGGTGGGTCACAACCATCTGTACTGAGATCTGGCGCCCTCCTCTGGCGTGCGGGCATACATCGAGGCAGAATGTTGTATACATAATAAATAAATAAATCTTTTAAAAAAGCCTCTAAAACGGGAAAAATTGTGGCCAACTACCTATCAAACAGAATTAATATATAGACTATATGGATTAAAAAATTCCCATTAATAAATGGACTAATGAACTGAACAGATAGTTCAAGAGAAGAAACACAAGTGTCCAATAAAATATTTTAAAACATGTTAAACATCCATTGCCATGAGATAAATGCAAATTACAATGGGTTTGAGGCTCCATCTTACATCAAGCAGAATGGCTATCATCAAGAAAACAAGAGATGCATAAATGATTCCATGAGTAAAGTGTTTGTTCGGCACACATGTATACCCGAGTTCAGATGCCTCATGTTTACATAAAACTTGGCACAATAGCTCAAGTTTCCAGTTTTCAGTGGGACAGAAATAGGTAGGACCCAGAAGCTCAGTGGTGATCAACTAGCTGAAAAGACAAGCTTCGGGTTCAGTAAGAGACTGTCTCTCAAAAATGAGGTAGAGTGGGCTAAAAAAAAAAAAAATGGCTCAGTTGTAAAGAGCATTAATCACTGTTGCAAAGGAACCTGAGTTCAGTTTCCAGCATGCACATCAGGCTACCTACAATTCACTACCTATTAACTCCAGCTCCAGGAGAGCTCCTGGCCTCTGCAGGCACTGGCACTCTTCTGCCCACAAACCACACAGATGTACACACCTAAACACAATTAAAATTCAAGTCTCTTTTAAAAATAGCATGGAAACAGGAAGATTCCTAAGATCATCTTTTGGCCATCACAAGTACATTGGCAAATGTACCCACAAACAAACATGAACACATGCATATACAAACATACACATGATAATATTTAAATATTTTAAAATTTAAAAATATACTAACAAAGACGCTGGGAGAAAGGAACCACATACAATATACTAGTGGGAATGTAATCCAGTACAAAATACTATGGAAATCAGTATGGCAGGTCCTCAAAAAACTAAAACTAAACTACTATATGAATCAGCTATATCACTCCTGGGCATATACCCAAAGGACTCTAAGTAAATATATTACAGATAGTTGTACGTCCATGTTTACTCTGCACTACTCACAAAATTAAGAAATTGACCCAGCCTAGACATCTACCAATAGATGAAAACAGACAGAGAAAATGTGGTACATGTATACCACAAAATTTTAGTCAGTCATAATGAAATCATAGAATTTCTAGGAAAATGGGTATAACTGAGGTTGTTACATTAGACACAATAAGCAAGACATTTACTCCCATATGCAGAATCTAGATTTCGATTTATGTGTGTGTGTATCATGAAAATAGAAAGGAGATCATAAGCAGGAAGAAAGAAAGCTTAAAAGAGTGGGGGGGGGGGAGAATGAGGCTAAAATTCATGAAATAAAATCAGGAGACACTCTGCATGAGGAAGCGCACTAGTATAGTATAGAAGAAGTGGAAGAAGTAAGGTAGCAGGGAATGGGAATAAATTAGAAAAAAAGCTATCATGAAACACACACACATGAAAATACTATAATGAAATCACACATTTTGGATGCTAACAAAAAATTCAATGAATGGAAAAGTTCTTTAGAATCCAACCAGACAAGTTTTCTTAATTTCATTTATTTATGTTAATTTTGTAGGCTCTGGAATGGATCTCAAATTTATTTTACTGTTTATTTAACACTCGTTTATTTCCTGTATTAAGTATACCGCATTTTCCATGGGCAATGTTTCCTCTTATTATAAACATTTTGATTATTTACACACTGTGAATTTAAGGGACTCCAGAAATGGATTAGAGGTGAAGAGCACTAGCTGCTCTTCCAGAGAGCCCAAGTTCAATTCTCAACACCCACATAACTGCAGTTCCAGAGAATCTGCTATCTCTTTCTGGCTTCCTCAGGAACCAGGCACACATGTGGTACAGATTATACACTCAGGCAAAGCATATAAAATAAAAATTACGCCAGCTCTGTACATTGCATAATTAGAAAGATTTTATCTACATACATTAAAAAATGAAAAGCAATGCAATACAGCAATGGAAATTAGATATTATATCATTTTCCTAATTATATACTAACCGTATGCATGTCTCAAATATGTTACTTTAGCTTGTACACACAACATTCTCATTATTTCTATATTCTTATGGTTCTAACAGACAACAGTTCCTACTATATGTTGATATCCACAAAATGAACAAGACTCATTTAAAAATGGAACTGTACAATGATAACTACTAGATGGTGAATATACAGATATTCACATTATTCTATGAATTACGCTCTAAGAAAAAATTCAGAATCAAGCATAGGGAAATAGAAAGTTTGAAGATCCCCTGAATAGGATCTAAATTTCCAAATCTCATCTGAAGCTGTCTACTGCTCAAATATACACAAGAACATGCCATTTCTTCAACAATTTTGATTATTTCATACTTTCGCTTAAAATATTTAAAGTTAGTATTAAGAGGTAAGTGCACTGATGTCCAAAATTTACTTCAACTAAGATTTTTTTTAAAAAAAAATTGAATTGGTGAATTTATCGAGAGGGAAATATATGTGTTAAGAGACTAGTGGTGGCAGGCACATGAATGCTTAATTCCTTTGTCTAAGTTTGAAACTTTTCATAATCACGAGAAAAGCGTTGTTTGGTTAAATATTCTGTACAATGAAAAGACTAATTTTCAACAAGGCCTATTCTACCCCTCATTATTCAGCTCTAGCCTATATTTCTGTGCACTCCCCTCCACATTCAATTAATTAAATCCCCAAAGGGTATCTTGCTTCCATGCCTTTGCATATAAGGTTCCCCATGAAGAAAGAGACCTTCACGTTTGATTAACTTAGTTTTTTAATGTGTCACTACCACAATGAAGCATTCTAACTTGCTTAAGTGGGTATCTTCCATGTCCATTTTACGCATTACTTGTAGTATGAAACTAATCATTTAATTGTAATTAACTATTTCATGAATGTCTTTATACCCCCTAGAGCTCCTAGGAAAAAGATTTCATTAATCAAGTACTGGTATCCTCAAAGTCCAGAAAAGCATTTGTTAATAATACTATAAGGGCACCATGTTTGCTGAACGAATTAGATGATCGCCACTGGTAAAATAAGTGACCCCATTTATACTTTTCTAAGGCATCTCCATCTCCAGTCAGTTATCTCTAATCCTAATACCACTTCCTTAGTTTAGATCTTTTGCCTAAATTACTATAGCATCAAAGTTCTCATGTCTGTTCTTGTCATTGTAAACTATTGCCAGAATTATGTTCCATGGTCTGAAATAAGATTTCAAAACTGAAATATTGAGTCCCATATTTACTGACTGAGTACTTAAAACCCTTTTCTTAAAAACCTTTTGGGATACTCTGTTGGAAAAGAAAGTCAATTACCAAAAAAAAAAAAAAAAAAAAAGAAAGTCAATTACCAGCTGAGCATGTTGAAACACAACTACTTTGGGCTATTTTCTAAGCACTTTACTACACTGTAAAACCCTCAAGATACTTTGCAGGTGAGGAAAATAGAAATGTAAAGATGAGGAGATAAAACTACATGACTTGGAAATCAACCAGGGAATAAACAGAAGAAAAGAGCTTCAGGGAAGTTGGGAATGTTTCCAAGAAATTAACAATTAAAGGATGAAACAATGGACTGTGGGAAAGTTAAAGTAGCAGGAAACATGTCATGTAGACTAAGGATAAAAGATAATGAAATGACACTGAACACCTAACTTTCTCTGGTCAATGAGGAGCCAACTAGGGTTTTATGTAGTTTTGTGGGTGATAAGAACAATCTGTTTAAAAGGTAGCTAACACCAATGAGAATGACAAACTAAAGAGGAAAAGGCTGCTAGCATACATTATTACCAGTTAGACAATGTTTATTAGGTGACTCAATAGCACAATGGTACCATATTAGGCTTCAAGATTAGGTTTACTGTTTCACTAATTAGGTCAGAAGGCTTATTTCTTAGTATTGTGGTAAACCAGCAGTATCATTCAACTATATTTCAGTCAACATTCATTTTCTTACCTTTTTTTCAAAGCCATTATCTGTGACATGTATTGGTGGCTTTCCAGGATACCGGTAAAGAATGAAATCTCGACTACAGGTAGAAAAAAAAAAAACAAAGGTAGGTGGGAAAAGATTACTTAGTATATACATAAGATAGCTATAACTGTAAGGCCTTGTTAATTTCCCCATGAAGTTTTATTATCAAAACCTAATGTGAACATTTGAAGGATCATTCGATTATTGAAGTATCTAAAATTTTTTGTCCTAACTTTACAATAGAAATGACACTACCCTAGTGGCAACATATTTTTTAAAAAGTCAAGCATTCGTAAGTTTTAAAAGACAGCTATCCTGGTTTCCTTCTGGAAATATTACCAGTATAGCATTTTCAGCCTCTTAGTTTGTCTTGAGATAACATCTTGTTGTGTACCCCAAGGTGGTCTTAAACTCAGCATCATCTTGCCTCAGCCTCCCTTGCTCAGTTCCAGTATTATAAGCAAGTCCCCGGACACCTGGCTTACATTTAATCTTCCTTTCAAAGAGACACAAACTCTAGGACAGAACCAGTAATAAGGTTCTTCACCCAAGAACTCTATCAAATGGATTTTAAATTTAACCTGTCCTAAAGGGACTCTGACAGAAATCTTAATTATACACAGTCATTCTCACTCATGTTCATATTTTCCCTCTTTCATTTTCCCTCTGGTACAACTTACTTATAAATTAGAGATAGAGCTCTTAATTCCAGCTGGCCAGCACTCTCCTAAATATAAATACAGAATTTTGATAAACTTTCAGAACTATTAAGTAGTGTTTACAACATTTTTCAGCTATTTGATATTTCAAGTAAAGTATTTGTATAACACACTGTAACTTGTTCTGAATGAGAAAATTAAGATAGCTAGCAACTCTATGATATAAACTCAAATGGACCCAAAATTCTACTTAGCCATAAGGTAATAACTACATGATTTTAAAAGTATAAAAAGTATAACTACTATTTTAAAAAAAGGTGGCAGATTATTTACTAAATGTCACTTAACTAAAAATTGATTACTATCATCAAATAAAAGTATTTCTAAATTATTATGAATCTTCCTTCTGCAAAAGAGAACTACCAATCAGGAAAATTTTAATTTTTAAAAATTAGTAAACATTACCATCCTTCTTTCCCATTACAGCGAAAAGGCTTTAAGTGTTTCCCAACATTGTCCTTCTCCCAAGCACTGTGTACACTCAGCAGGCTACAGAAACTGTCAACACAATTCTCAATAATCAACACAAACAGGCCATTGCTTCTTATCCAATAATTGTTATTCAACACAGTTAAATATTTAAATACTTTGGGGCATTATAGACATAAAAGTATGTTTGGGTTACTATTTCAAACAACCATGAAAAGATGATATTCTCATATTTGAACTTACCATAGGATCTCCCAACCGTTCAAGATATTTCTCAAAAGATCCCTCCACATACTTCAAAACAAAACAAACAAAAAAAAACTTGACTTAACCAAATAAATGATTTTACTGCAATCTGATTATATTCTACAGATATCAGTATCTAATGACTTTTATTTGAGATTATATTTCTGTTATTTCTCCCTTCCCTTTCCAAGCCCTCTCATATACCCCTTCCCACTCTATCAAATTCATGGCTTCTTTTTTTAATCACATTCATATGTATATGTATGTAGACATATATAGTCTTAAATATAATCTGCAGTCTGTACATGGGATTAAATGACTAGTTCACAGCACCTCCACATCAACATATACACAAAAGTCTTGAGTGAAAAAAAGGTATCTCGGAAGCTGTCTACATATTAGTGGATTTCATCAAATGCTTTTACCTTCCAGTTTCTTTTAAAATGTCAACTTTATGTAACTTTACAATTTTAATCAATTAAGCAAGACCAACAATCATTAAGGATAAAATCTTGATAAGAGACATGTATACAAAGTTAAAATAATATAAAGAGAATTTCACTGGTATCAAAAAAAAAAAAAAGCCCTGGGCACAACAAACTTTTGCTGGTGATGGATATGGTCTACCTCGCCTGATAGCAGCTGCAATGACCTTTAAAATGGCTCAGAACTAAAACTGTTATTCTTAAAATGAATGATCTTATTATAAGTAAAATATGCCTCCATAAAAAACTGAATTAAAACTCACGTTCTCTATAGTTCTGATATATATATACCTAGCATGAACTAAATAGAGTAATTTAAATAGCACAAATTTTGACCATGAACTGTAATGTATTTCGGTTATTATTATTATAATAATACATATTATTACACACTGTAATGTATAACAGAGATTAAAGATAATGAATTTATCTATCGCACTCATAGGTGCTTTTGTGCCCTTAAGATTGGATGGTATTTTTTTCTAATTTTTACTGAAAAGACACTTAAATACAGCATAAACTGTTCTAGGGGGATGGGAGAGGAAGATCAAGCTTTGAAAAGTATGTTTAACACATCTTTTGTTAAGCAAACTGTGGTCTAGGAAGTAACAGCACCCTTAATTTACAAGTTTGATTAAAATGCAGAAATCTGAAGCCTCTGCTCAAACCTACTGCATCAGAATGTATAGTTTAACAAAAGCCCCAGTTATGTGTATGCACAAAATACTTGAGATAGAGCTGGGCAGTGGTGGTGCATGCCTTTAATCCCAGCACTTGGGAGGCAGAGGCAGGCGGATCTCTGTGAATTCGAGACCAGCCTGGTCTACAAGAGCTGGTTCCAGGACAGGCTCCAAAGCCACAGAGAAACCCTGTCTTGAAAAACCAAAAAAAAAAAAAAAAAAAAAATACTTGAGATATACTGCATTAGAACATAAGTCTTGCATCTCAATGTCAGGAACAGTATTTCTCCCAGGTGTGGATAAAACTGATCAACAAGATTTAAAGAAGCCTTTACATTATTTTACAGTTCACTGAAACCTGTTGAGAAAATTGAAAACAAACCTCCAAAAGCAGGAGGCAAATATGCAAAAAAAAAAAAGAAATTGCCCAGCTACTATACACATTACCAACAACTCTGTTCAGTGCATATATTCTACTTACAGACTCAAAAGTTTCTTGATTTTCCTTCATATATGAGACACAAGCTCTCCTGATTTGTAAATGATGGATCTGGCTGTAAAACAGCTATAAAAGATAAGACTAGCTCACTGTCATGTCATTTGAAATAGAAGCTTCTCAATTAACACAATGAACTTAGACATTTAGTTTCCTAATCTAGAACACATGTTGGAAACAGAAAAATTAAATCCATCTGTTACTACACCTGGTCTTCACCAAAGGCAAAGAAGCCATGCCTCATCTTACAAATGGTCATCTCTAGTAAGATTGAGAGATAATTCTCTCCTAGACTTTCAACTCCATAATCTTTTTCTTATGCATAAAACAAAAGGGAGGACACGCTTACAAACAATTGAGATTCATTTCGAAGTTTTCTTTAACCCCACATTAATTTACCCCTCCTCCTTACAAACTTAAAATGAAAAGCAGAAAAGCAGGCACAGGAAAACAGTATTTGCTCTAATCAGCAATAGCACAGTATTTCACTGTACTTCTCAGGAAGGCCTGGATATTATCACTGAAAAAAACAGAAAAAGTAACACTTTTGTTTCTTTCAGTATGCTACAAATGGAGCTACTCGAACACGGCACATCTCACTCTGAAAACTTACAAACAAGACATTATCCAGTTGTCATATTTATATTTACCTGCTCGGAAATAGCCCGAAAAAGGCAAGAGGCATCCTTGGCAATCACCTTCCGAAACAGCCCTAAACTGCCTAAATATTCATCCATTGATGCCTCACTCAAAGACTTCTGGCCGCAGTTTTTCCATCCTTTATTCATTGTGCATGGGATGAGGAGAAAGGAACAGAGGGGTGAAAAAGAAGAAAACACAGAATGCAGGGAGGACTAGGCAATGGCGGCAAGTTGTGTAGGCAGGTATCCGAAACAGCTCAAGGTCTAGGCAGAAGGCAGGTGCGGCAGGGCTGAAGAATCTTGGCAATTTCCAGAAGCAGAAGCAAGAGGCTGACTGGCGCAGGACAAGACAGGACCCTGTGGAAAAACAAAACGAAGAGCAGATGCTCCAAAGAATAAGAAACTTGAGAAACAAGGGAAGAAAAAAATTAAACAGTTACAGAAAGGTAGGACTATCAAAATCAGCTAAAGGCATAAAAAGTGACTAAGCAGCTGAACTCTGGGGATCTGAAGAAAAGCTTGGGGAAGTTACTTCAGGAGGCTGCAAAGATTATAAAAAGCCTCACGAGTGTAAAACAGCTTACTCCACGAAAAGCACTGAGAGCACTCCCAGAATTTCCAAATAATTTCTGTCCTTCAAAAGCCCTCCAGAGTTTAAAGGAAGTAGGGGTGGGGTATTTAATTCTCTTTAGTACTAAGAACATCTTTTTTAAAAGACAAAGAGAAGAGGAGGGACCTCCATCTGCTGGGACAAAGATCACTTAAAGAAAAGTAAAAATGCTAAGCAACTGTTTCAGGTATAAGAATAAAGTCAACTCAGTTAATTCTAGATTAAAAAATTGTCTACAAGGACCACTGAAAATAAATTCACTCATACTACTAGGAAATCCCAATATAATTCTTGAAGAATGTCAAGTTGCTGCAGAGTACTAACAAAAACAGGGAGTTTTTAACTGAAAACAATGAGAGCTAGAAATGGCTCAGCAGCTAAAAGCATGTGCTGCAAAAGACTAGAGTTCAGTTCCCAGCACCCACACCAAGTGGGTCACAACCACCTGTACTTCCACTGGTACCCATGAGCATCTGCACTCATATACAGTGCACATACCCACACAAATATATGTATTTAAAAAATAAATCTTCAAAAAGTGGAAACAATGAAAGCAGCATGAAATGAAATACCTTAAACAGAAACTTTTAAAAATGTACATTTAAGATTTGATGGCACATTAACATGTTTGACATGTTGTTACATGTTAGTGTACTTTGCAGAAAAAAATTCTCTGAATCTTGGGGGGGGGGGCTCCATTTTTATTATTTTGTTTTGACATCAAGGACTATTTTTACTTAAATGCCAAAATACAACCCTCATACTTAAAGTGTTAAAAAGTAAGTTTTAGGGGCATACAGCTCAGTAATAAAGCTTGCATACTAGGTTCTTGTACACTAGATTCAATACCAGCATCCCCAAGTCAAAAGCTTTTTTTTTCCTATTGATCTAGAAATGTTAAACTTGTACTTTTCCTATTTGTACAGTGATAACACTAAATTAAATATGTAAGGTCCTAGCTACATGGGTTTGACAAAAAAAAAATAGTATACTCTAAATGAAAGAAAAACGTTGACTTTAAAGATGGTGTAACGTAAAGTAGCTATCAAAACTGTTATTCTTCTATGTGAGTCAGCAGTAATTAAGACTGCTGTCTATAGAAGAAACAGGGACCATCACTTATAATTTAAGAATGAAATAAAATCATGATAAGGAATAAAATCTTGACTTTCCTTACCATACCAATTTCATATTACCTTGTTTCTTTTCTAAAGAAACCATAATATACAGGAACTTTGTACAAGTTCTAAACTATACTGTTTGGTTATAGGGAAACCATCATTTTTTAAGATCGCTAGTTCAAGTAAGAAAGACATATTTTGGATTACAATTAAAAAGTTGATTCATTTTGTCATATTTTACAAGTAAAGACAAAATACAAATTCTTTACATCTTCTGAACTTTAAACATGGGTACATAAAACCTCAACAAATCCTATTCATATACTTCGATTTGAAAAAAGAACTGGAGGGGAAGGAAAGAAAGACAATCAAAATATAGAGGAAACCAAGAAACAAAGACCAGAAAAATACTCAACAAAAAGACAACAAGAGAAAGAAAAGTACGTACTAGGAAACCAAGCAACAGACAAAATTTATTTTTGACAAGGAACAAAGGCAATACAATAGATAATACAATATTTATATCAATACAAAAAATTAACCCTAGACCTAAATCTCAGGCTTTGTTTTGTTAATGCAAAGCAGACTAGATCTATAAAGTTTATGTTTATCCTGATAGCTGCTTCCCAAGGGAGGGAGGGTTAAGACAGTAAGAGAAAAGCTGCAAGGGAGCCCCTCTGTGTCTTTTTTTTTTTTTTTTTTTGGTTTTTCGAGACAGGGTTTCTCTGTGGCTTTAGAGTGCTGGGATTAAAGGCGTGCGCCGCCACCACCACCTGGCCCTCTGTGTCCTTTTATATTGTATATTTTAGCTTCTGACCTACAAATATTTGGAAATCAATACATAAAATCAAAGTTCTTAAAAATATTTTAAGAAAAAACATTCAATACCTTGGGTTAGGTAAAGTTGTTGAAAAGCATATAGATTGTACTTTCACAAAATAACTTGCTCTACAAATGAAATTGTCAGACAGGTGACAACCGAAGTTACAAACTAGGGTAAAATACATGCATATCATATATTTATCAAAGAAAAATTTGTATTGAATATATATATATACTTGTATTGAATATATATTATTATTTTTAAAAAATGACTAGAGATGTAGCTTAACTGATACACTGCTTGCTTAGCCCGCTAGCGACCCCAAGTTCAATCCTCAGGAAAACATAAAAGTGGCATGGAAGCACAAGGCTTTAACCTCAGCTCCCCAGTAGTAGAGTCAGGATTTCAGACATTTACAACCACCTGCTGCTACATAGTTAGTTTGAGGCTGGTCTCTAATACACATATAGAGTTAGCAATGAACAATCTAATTTTTTTCAATGGGCAAAACATCTTAATGTTTTACTAAAGGTAAATGAAAGGGAAGTTACAATATAGTTAAAGTGGTAGAATGCTTGTCTTGTGTATAATATCCCAGCCTTAGAAACTAGCTGTAAGACCAGGATTTTAAGGTTATTTTCCACTAAACAAGAGTTTGAGGCCCATCTGGGCTAGAGTCTCTGTCTAAAAAGCAAAGTGAGTAAAAATGGCTAATAAGTAGTTAGAAGATGTTCAGCATAATTAGCCATAAAAATGCAAATTAAAACCACAATGAGACAATTACACACGTACTGGGAAGACTATAAAATAACTGTGAACAAGAGGGTGGAAAAAACAGCCCTAAAAAGCCAATATGAAATATGCCAAAAGGCAAATCTAGATAAAAATCAGATTAGTAGTTACCTGGGGCTGTGGTGGAACAGGCATTGGCAACAAACAAGCATTTAGAAAGATAAAAATCTGAAAATCTTTCCCAACAGTTTCACTAATAATTACGGAATTATACTCTTTAAAAAACTGGTTAATTTTGCCAGGAAGTGGTGGTACATGTCTTTAATTCCAGCACTCAGGAGGTAGAGGCAGGTGTACCTCTGTAATTTCGAGGCCAGCAAAGCTAGTTCCAGGACAACCAGTGCTACACAAACACTGGGGAAAGGACCTGGTTAATTTCTAATATTCATCATAAGTGTAGAGCTAAAATAATTTTTCATATATTCAGAGTTACACATCCATCACAATTTGAGAAAACTGTCACTTGAAAATGAAACCCTAATATCTTACAGCTATTATCCTCTAATTACCCTATCTCACCAACTCAGTAGTTGCCTGCCTATCTTTAGATTTACCTATTCTGAACATTTCTAATAAATGTAACCATACATTTTTATATGGTCCTCACTTGTTATACTTAGCACAGAGTTCATTTTAAGAACCATCATTCTAAAACAAGGTGTTTTACAAGTTATTACTAATTCTTTGAAGCATTATTTTGGGGCAAATCCAAAACTTTAATAAACACTGCCATCTTTAAAATTCACAATCCCTATTTAAGCAATATTAAAGGTTCTTGAGGAATGCTTGTTGAGCTATCAGAAGATATAGTAATAAAGACTTTGAGAATGATGAAAATACCAAGAAAAACATGAAGGAAATAGTACCAGAAGATAACTTCAAAACACAAATATTTAAGGAAAACAACAGCATATAACTTACTTGTAATCAGGTAAACCAATTAGGAGAATTTTTCCCCATGGTGTCTATGAATAATAGTACACTTTAAAATAGCATTGTAAAAAACCCAAACAGGCCCTGTGTCTATAACTAACATAAATGTTCAATTTTGGGGATATTGATATAATTTAAAACACTATCTTATTATACCAATAAATGATGAACATGCACTAAGAATTCAGTGCTCCAATTACCATTCCCAGATTATCCCCCATTGCTTGGATCCCTTCATCTACAAAATGGAACAAAATGAAACTATTTCTTAGGATTACTAGAGGTTAAATAAATTCATATGTAAAGTAAACTGAATAAGTACCAATATATAAGCACTTAACAGGTGTTAAACCCAACTATTGTTCTTTCTTCCCTAGTCTCCCTAGAAAAATATGGTATTTTGAACAGCACAAAATTGGCTCACCACGTTTATCATCATTACATGTTCCCAAATATTCTCCAAAAGCCAATTTCAAATAATCTGCCCATACATCATTCACCAAAGCATATGCAGATTTAGTCATCTCTGCAAATTGTTACATGAACATGAATTGAGTGCTATTATCTCACTAACAGCAAAAGAAAAATGCCTACAGTACTTTTAGTCATTCCTCACTTTAGTCTTAACTTTTTTTAATATTGCCCTTTGACTTAACTTTGTATCTGAAATCAACAAACACCTGACTACTTTATGCTTCAGAACCTTGTAATAAGTTCATTGGTTAAACCTCCCAACCATTCCAGCTCATTCACTCCCAACTACAAGCCATCAAATCTAAAATTCCCAGTTTCCAAGATCATCTCATAACATCAACCTCTCATATACTCAATTTTGTAGGACCAGAAAAGTCACTTCTGAATCTGTCCATGGCATCAATTTCCCAAAAATCATTTTTTTGCCTCTTTATATCTGGAAATCCAAATAACACTAATAAAAAAGTATTAAACAGCATTCCACTTATCCAGTGAGTTTAAAATTAACTTTATTCAAAAATATTTCAAGTAAAATCTTTTTTTATAAGAAATAGTAACATATAAACCTGATAGCCTTTCTTACACACCAGTACTATTTTCAAACATCTTTTATCTCTAATAGTCTGTATAATTGTCTTAAAGTGAATTAAGTCAATTAAGACAGTTCTCTAAGCAGGGCAGTGGTGGCTCAGGGTTTTAATCCCAGCACTGAGTCAAGGCCAGCCGTTTCTAGAAAGGCTAGTTCAAGCTAGAGCCAGGGCTGTAACACAAAGAAACCCTGCCTTGAAATACCAAAATAAATAAGACAATCCTCTGCCCTTGATCCTCAGAGAACTTTTATAAATTTCAAAATGCGAATCCCAAGTTTTAGTTCTAAGTAGGGTTGTCATGCACCAAGGAAACTCCTGGTATAGAATTACTACTACTGAAAAAAAGGATAATTTTTAACAGTTTAAATTTAAAAATATCCCTGGGGCCCAGTAGTGGTGGTACACGCCTTTAATTCCAGCACTCGGGAGACAGAGGCAGGCGGATCTTTGTGAGTTCGGATCTTTGTGAGTTCGAGGCCAGCTGGTCTACAAGAGCTAGTTCCAGGACAGGCTCCAAAGCTACAAAGAAACCCTTTCTCAAAAAACAAAAACAAAAAAAATCCCTGGGCTAGCTATGAAACAAAACAAATAAAAGCTTAAAACGAATATTATGCCATGGTAAGAAAAAAAATGCAGGACTCAATCAAGTTTCTCATGGTATTTCTGTCAAAAGGCTGTTTTCTTAAGCAAATTGTCACCTCTAGTATTTTTCCTCAGTTGAGAAAATACACAACTTAAAATGTTGAGAAATTTTGTCAAGCAAAATTCAAATTATCTTGACTTAAAATCTCATAATATAAAATACCACAAAGGTATAGTCAGAAATATTACCACATACAACAAAGAATTGTTGAGTAACTAAAACTACATTATGTGGTCTAGTATTAAGTATTAAAGAATTGGAAGCCTGTTGCTTTTCCAGGTATATTTGAATAGACTATTTCTGATTCTTTATGGTTAGTTGTTCAAGCCACAAAGTCATTTAAAAGGCTGTGACCAACATAAACATCAGACCACAATTTTCTCAAATGAGAAAGGTATTTTAAAAGACCAATTAAACATTAGGCTTCTATCTCTAGATGTTAAATAAAACCTTTTGTAAAATTAGTATAGGGGGCTGGAGAAATGGCTCAGCGGTTAAGAGCATTGCCTGCTCTTCCAAAGGTCCTGAGTTCAATTCCCAGCAACCACATGGTGGCTCACAACCATCTGTAATGAGGTCTGGTGCCCTCTTCTGGCCTGCAGGCATACATACAGACAGGATATTGTATAAATAATAAATAAAATAAATTTATTAAAAAAATTAGTATAGAGCTGGTAAAAGGCTAAGAATGTGATTTAGTAGTGTGTGCCTTGCAAGGACTTGAGCAAGTGCCCAGGACATAAAAATGCAATACATGATACAATGGGATTATAAGCTCAAAACTGAGGTGGAAACAAGGTGCTCACTGGCCATCCCGTCTATAGTCTAGTGACCTGGCCAGGGAGCAATCAACTTAGAAGTGGATGTTATTTGGGGATAAACCCTGAGTTTGTTCTCAGGCCTCCTCAAGCACAGGCATGCAAATAAATAGGCACATTTTCTTAAAAAAAGTATATATAATAAAGGCATAATTACTATTAATTCTCACCTATGAAGATGTGAACTATTTACACTTAGATATCTAATTCTCACCAAAATTTTAATTCAGAATATTTTCTCAGGAACCTACTTTTACCATCAGTAAAATTTAGTATTAACCCAAGGAAGGGACAATCAAGAAAATAAATCTAATATATGCAAATACATTGCCAAGTAAAATGTTTGAAACAAAAGTTATGCCTTTAACAGTCACGATCCCATCTATTCACCTGATTTAATTTCTTACTGCATAAGCTCAGAAGGACCTGAAACTCACTATGTAGCACAGCTATGAATTCCAGTGTTGGGATTACAGCACCATCATGCCAAACTCTCAAATTTTTATTTTTATGAATAAACTGTATCGAAAATTTCTACCAATGAACTATTAGACTTAAATATATTATCTTAAAAGTTCTGAGACCAAACTCAGAAATTTTATATATTGAGTTCTTGTAATTTAAAAACTATGTATTTAAGCAATTATACATATCACACAATTTTTATAAAACATAAATTGCCAAATTCTGTTATATGTTTCATCACTGTAGAAGGTATTTAATTTTGGGTTTTCATGTAGTTATTTTTCTGTATATCTGTGCACCACACACATGCCTGGTGTCCACAAAGGCAGAGGGGGTAGGATACCCCGCCATGTGGATATTGATAATAGAACCCGTGCCCTCTAAGTTAACATATATTTTAAGAACCAAACTTATGTCCTCTGAAATACAACTCAACTACTGAGCTCGCTTCGGCCACCAGATGTGAATTATAGTAACTCAGTGGTAGAGCCTATTACCCAGCATGTGTGAGGTCATAAGTTCAAACCCTACTATGTCTATCCAAATGAATAGACCAATGACATGGATCGCCAGCAAATGTCCTGCTGCCAAGCCTAGACACCCACATTTGATCCTAGGGACTAACATGGCCTTAAGGACAGAAACATCCCAGTTGTCTTCTGACTTACACATGAACATATCCATACACACACAAAATTAAAAATGTAAATAAAAAACAACCAAGTCATACTGTTACATCTTTGGATTTATTCTCTATTCTTTAAAGCACTGATAAGATTATCACATTCTACTTACATGTGTGTATGCATTCATTCATGTGAATGTAGGGATGTGTGCCATGGTCAGCTGGTGGAAATAAGAGGAAAACCTCAAGCTCAATGGTTAATTTCCACCTTGTTTGACACAGGGTCTCTTTTTGCCACTCTGTTGTGAACACCAGGCTGGCTAACCCAGTACCTTCAAGGGATTCTGTCTCCATCTACCATCTCATCATAGGCAAAGGGATACACACTACCATCCCTGACTAATGTTGATTATGAAGATGCAAACTCAGGTCCTCACACTTGTGCACCAAGTACACTTTATTCACTGAGCCATCTCCACAGCCCTTCTCAGAGGAACAAATATTATCAGGTGTGGTAGTATGTGCCTGTAATCTCAACACTTGAAGGATCAGAAGTTCAAAAGTTGAACTTATCTACTTTATTCTTCAGAATAAAACTTACTTGAAGTACAGTAGATCGATTACTTTGATCATCTTTTTCAGATAACTATTAGCTCCCACAAAGTAAACCCATTTTTCTCTGCATAATACAAAAAAAGCTGTCTCAAGATAATAAACCAACAGATGCTGACTTTCTCACCAAATGTTACATTGTTAGCATTTTATTCTTTTCTTCAAAGTAACATGTTCCTAATATCTGATTTTTATTAACATTTTTCAATTTTTTTCAGTTTTGTGCTTTTGTTTGTTTCTGTTTTTGGAAACAGAGTTACTCTGTGTACCCCTGGCTGCCCTGAAACTTAATCTGTAGACCAGACTGGCCTTGAACTCAGAAATCCACCTGCCTAAGCCTCATCAAAGGTGTGCCCAGGTTATTTTTGCTGGGTTTTGTTGTTGTTGTTGCTTAAGCAATCAGATATCCATTTAAGATTCTAGGACAAAACTGTGAAGACTACATTTTCAAAGTTAGGAACTCACTACATACTCAATGTTAGAGAAGCTTCATAAATTTACTGATTAGGATTTGGACCCAACTGCAATGTTTATGCCACAAAATTCTCTATATATTCTATTTTTATAGTAAATATATTAATTTGTATTGTTCTACAAATGCATGTCATAAACTTATTTTGATTTTATCACATTTCATGAACTGGATTTAGGGGTATTTTAAAGTGTTGAGAGTTTATTTTTGTAATCCAACAACTTTATCCAAAAATGCAGAAAATTTTTCTGGCTGGCCAGGAGGATAACATTTCAGTGTTGATAAATCCATTGACTGTAACAGCCCAGGAAGCGTGCTAAAACAAAAGAAGAAAAATATCAGGTAGCATGAGAGAAAGTTCCATAGCTTATCTGTTGCCCATTTGATGAATGAACTGTGAATTTTTATAATATTATGGGGATATACACACTATTATTGCCAACACGAAGAGTACCATAAAATATTGGATAAATTGAATAGACATTTTTAGTTCAGTCAAATGAAGTGTTTCAGAAATGTCGTTTCAAGAAAATTTTAATTATACTGCTTTTTAATACTCTCCAAAACCACACAAACATAAAATAAAGCAAAGTTAATTTATGAAAACAGAATAAATGAAACCAAAACAATAGGTATCAGAAAAGAAAGCTAGGGTTATTATACTAAATAACATGCATATAGACTGTAAGTAAACTATTTTACTGAAAATTACCATGCATTCATAACTAATCAATATGTAGTCATCATGAATGTTGGAAATAAGGTTCTAAACAGCATAAAACTTACTTCAGAAACTTAAACAAGTGAACTAAATTTGAACAGACATACCACCATCCAACCTACGTTTGGGTAAAATATAATCAATGATTCTTGATACTGTCAGAAATTACTTTTCTGAAATTAATAGTTTCTAAAAATGTTTAAAAGATAGGGGGAGGGCAAAGAAATTGCTCTGAGGGTAAAAGTAATTATCACCACGCCTGAAAACAGTGAAATCAATCCCCAGAACACACATGGTAGAAGGAAAGAACAATTCAAAGTTGTCCTCTGTCTTTAAGGCCCACAATACAGCATACATATATTTTTTTTCAAAAAAAAAAAAAGGAAGCATACAGGTCATTTCATCCTGCAGAAAAAATTAGAATGCTTTTATATTTTTTTAAAAAAAAGTCTATTTTTATATTTTATAATATACTAACAAAAAAAATTCAGAGCTAACTAGCTGGGGACAGTAGCCCATCCCTATCATCTCTGAAGCTCAGAAGGATCAGGAGCTCAAGGTTAGCCTGTGCTATACAGAGATCATCTCAAAAAAAAAAAAAAAAGTGAACACATTTTGAATGAAATTCCTTTTCAACAGCCCCTAGAAATATTAACTTTGATACATTGTTTAGGAACATCTGATCCTATGAAGTTGTCAACTTTTAACAGTATCAAGTACCTAAAGGCAGATACACCAATTATCTGAACTGTTCCTAATTTCTAGCTTTTCTTCTGAGTCATTTTAACCAAGACAACATTTCCTTTCTTTCATCATTATAGTTAAGCACACTACCAGTTTTACTGTTTGAATAGTAATCACTGACTAAATCTGTCTTCTCCCACTGAAAACATCCAAGCTTAGTTCACTGATATATATATATATATATATACACACCAAATGTCTAAAAAAGCATGTCATAACAAGTGTTTCATACTTAATGAATGCACAAGTATACACCAAATGTCTGAAAGAAACAAAAATAAAATCCAAAGACACACTTACCATGTTCTAACTTTAATATAAGACATAGACATACAATTAATATCTTTATGAGATTACTTTTTTAAAATATCAAGTTAGAAAAGTTTTTAAAATTAAGCAACTGGGAATTACTGACCTGGCCCTTTGGCAAGCTTCTAGTGTCCCAAAGAAGAACTAACAGAAAAACAGCATTTTTCTTCAAGCTTCTACTGTGATGCTGATAAAACAATACTCCTTACCAAAGATCCCTTTGCTTAAAGTGCTCCGTGGCTTCTCATTAAACATAAAATAAAATTAGAACTCTTAAATGAGCTTATGCCCTCCCAGCTTCATATTCATTCTTCCCTGGTCACTAATATTTTTACCATACCCACCTTCCCTGTTCCTCAAGCATTCCAAACTCCAAGTTCATTCCTAAATTAAAGGTTTTGTAACTCAAGCTCCCTTGTCTTTAAATTTCATATGATTGGTACTTCCTTCTAATTCAGGACTAACCTCAAACATCAGGTCATTTGTCAAGCCTCTCCTGAAGTCTACCTAATTCTTCCTTATCCCAGCTACAACACTGTCTTGTCTTTTTATTTCTAGCATAGTTCATCATGTGAAACTCTAGCACCATAATGTAAATATTATGTTTGCCACTGTAACCCAAGCACTTAAAATAGTACCAACTTTTTATTAAGTAGAAGAGAATATGTGAATGAATATATGGGCTTCCAGTGGATTTACTAAAAGTCAAACTTTAACAACTAAAACTCATATATATGAAACTGTCCAAATAACTGAATTAATTAGTCCTTAATATAAGCGTACACCTTCTTTGAACACTGAAAACCTGAATAGTGAACTATAAAACTTTGTTTCTTGGAAATCTGCACACCCATACGCACTTTCAGACATTCAAATTCACATACACAGAGTTGGCCATGAATACAGAAAAAGACAACACAGAACCAAGTCAAAGCTAAGACAAATAAGAGGTTATAGTGTGTGAAAAGTGTAAAAGTCAAAAGGTTAGACAGGTGGGTAACAGCTGGGAAGGAATTTAAGGCAAGAGTTCAACTGATCAGTCTCTAGTATACCTGCAGGTACAATAGAAGAGATGTCCTTCCTTGTGCAACTGCTTTGCCAATTCGAATTGATGATTGTTCATTAACTTTTCATTTACAACTACCACAAGTGGCTTGCCTTTTTCCAGACTCTCCAAGCAACTTCCTGCACCTACAAAAATAACTTATTAAATCAATTTTTTTAACTTATGGTACACTATCATCATAGTTTTATTTCTAAAATTAGTCAGTAAAATTATAAAACCAAACTTCTTACTTATTTCTTAAAAATGACAAACATTAAGTTTAGTGGCACATGCCCCAAATTCCAGCATGTGGGAGATTAAAAGCAGGAGCATCATGGGTCACACAGGCAGACTGTATCAACAACAAAAAGAAAACGTACCAACTAATTTTTCTCTAATATTTTTTGAGGTGAGGGGAATAGAAAGTCTACAGCATAATCTTGCCTGAAACTTGCTACAAAGTCCAGGCTGACATTGAGCTTACCATTATTATACTGTCCTGTTACAACCTCCAGAGCTCTGAGATTACCAAATCCCTAGCTGCTACCATTGAACAACTTCACTTCTATCCAAATATAAAGAGAAAAGGCAGGTTTATGCCCTGAAGACACCCACATTAAAAGCTGAGTTCATTCTGTAACACCAATTAGGGGAGGAAGGAGACAGGAAATCCCTGGAGTTCATTAACCTATCAGGTGACCTGAACTGATAACTCCAGGTTCAGTGAGACCCTATTTCAAAAAATAATGTGGAAAGCTTAGAGATGGCTCAGAAATCAAGAGCATATACTGTCCTGTTCTCTTTCAGAAAACCAAAGTTTGATTGGGTCACTTATAGCTACCTGTAACTCCAGCTCCATCCAGGGTGTACAAATACACACAACTAAAAAATACATATTAAAAAACAGTGGGAGCACACCTTTAATCCCAGCACTCAAGAGGCAGAAGCTGACAGATTGTAGTGAGCTCAAAGCCAGCCTGTTCTACATATTGAATTCTAGGCAAGCCAGGACTACATAGTGAGACTATATATATAAACTAAACGTGGAGAACAACCCAGTAAGACACCCACTGTCTACCTCTAGCCTCAACACACACAGATGTATTACTCACACATACACACACAATCACACAGATGCACATACACTGACCGACATCAGACACACACATACCAGATACAAAAAATAAAGGTGATTTTTAAAAATTATTGAGTTTTTAAGATAGCCCCAGAGCCCACATGGTAGAAGACAACAGACACACACAGAGAGGAAAGGATAGAGGAGAGGAAGAGAGGTAGGTAGAGGAAGAAAACAAATAAATGCACTAAATTTTTCCTACATTTTTAAAGGCTAGCCTATAATAGTGACAAGTACTAAAACAGAGAACAGTCCTTATGCTTTTACCCATGAAGGCTATTCCCAAGATAGTCATGACTAGATCACCACGAATGTGCAAATTTTATGATCACTTCAACTTTGAGATTTAAAATTCCTTAGAGGGCTAGGGAGAAGACTAAGCAGACACATGTCACAAAGCCTGAAAACTCCCACCATGGAAACCCTAGAGTAAAGAGAATCAATTCCCACAGGTTGCCTTCTGACCTTCACATAACACGCCATGGCACACTTGCAACCATACACACAAGTAAATGACATTTAGGAGGACTATTAGAGACTATTTAGAGTAAATAAACCCTTTTTGTAAGTGTTAGGGTAGTAATTAAGACAGACTCTGCTGCTAAATTGTTATATTCTACAACTACGAATTACTGTCTCAGTTACCTCATATGGATGCTAATAATGACTTTTCTTGTTTTTCTGGTTTTGGAGACAGGTTTCTCCAGTAGCCCTGGCTAGCCTGGAACTCCAAAGACCAGGCTGACCTTGAACTCCTGTTTTTGCCAGTGCTGGGATTAAATCACTGCTGCCCAGCAGTAATGTCTATCTCTAAGGAGTTTTCTCTCCTCAAATCAAGTCTTTAGAAAAACCAGCATGTCACCCACAAATACCCATAGCAGACAAAACTGCACTGTTCCCCCAAAGCATCTTTTCTAAAAGTACTGGAAATCTCAGGAACTCTGTTAGTTTGATCTCTTAAGACTAGGCTACAATATACTTTCTAAATCTATTAGCTTATGTCTCTGAATACACAATTTAAAACTCTAAAATTTTTAATTTTCTTACCATATCCTATTCAAAAATAAATATTTTACTGCATCTATTTTACATATATGCAACAGAAGTGCTAAAAAGACAATCCTTAAATGGTTATTACTACAACCCACACCTACCACAGAAAAGGCTTAATGTCCTTTAAATCTAAGCCTAAATACTAATTTCAAATTCACAATCTGGCCAGGCGGTGGCATGCAC